CGGCGCGGCGGGAGGAGCGCGGCCGGGCCCTGCCCTCTGCTGCGTGCGGGGCCGCCGCTCCGTACCGCCGCTGGGGGGCGGCGCGGCACGGCGGAGGACGGGAGGAAGGGCAGTGGGTTCTTAAGGGCGAGGGGAGGTAGCCTGAAGTTGTGGCAGGGGTGGTTTAGGTTGGATATGAGGAAACACTTCTTTACAGAAAGCATTGTTAGGTACTGGAATAGGCTCCCCAGGGAGGTGGTTGAGTCACCATCCCTGGATGTGTTTGAAAACTGTTTGGATGTGGTGCTCAGGAATGTGATTTAGGCTGTTAGAGTTAGGGTGGTATAGTTAGGTTGAGGTAGGACTTGATGATCTTTAAGGTCTTTTCCAGCCTGAGCAATTCTGTGATTCTATGATTATGTGGCGAGGCTTGGTTCTGGAGTGTGGGAGCTGCTAGGTTTCGTTTAAACCTGCCTTGATGCAAATTAAATTGATTTTGCCTCATACTCAGCAGATGTGAACTATTTTCTGCAACACTTTTTTTTATTGTTGAGGAAAAGGATCCTGCTTAAACCCCATCACTCTTTCATGTAAAACAGGGGATTTCACTCTGTGTGCTATGGGAACAACTGTGTAGTTGATGGGCATAACTCACAGGGATCTGCCTGCATAGAATGACACCCTGAGGTGGGGCTTGGGATCACCATTCTGCTTGTGGCCTCTGAAAGGCCCTCAGAACCATCGGCATAGAGAGTTGGCGCTGCCCTGGCTGTCCCACCGCCCCCTGCCTGGGCTGAGGAAGGTTGGAAAGGCAATGGCTGAAATGTGATGGGAGAATTGCTGAGTGTCCAGTAGGTACAGGGGGAATGACTCAGGACTTCTTAAAAGCCCTCTCCCTCTGTTCCCCTTGCTAGGATCCAAATTTGGCAAAGGTGATGCTAATCTTTGAGCACCTTTATTTGTTTCTAGATTCCCCTTAGTAGAACCAGGCTTTCTGAAGCTGAAGTGGGTTGTGTTGGGCTGTGGCTTCAAACTCGGAAATGCCTAATGTAGGTGGCTAGATTTGCAGTGTAAATTTAGCTGAAGCTGGGGATTACATTCATTTTATCGCATTATTGCATGCTTTCACCTTATTTTACTTTATTTTAGCCTCAGCAAAAGAGTAGTGCTCTCTTGACTGATCTCAGAACCCATCCCTGCCCCAAGGGACTTCACCCGAGGGCAGACAAAGAACCTGGAGCAAAATGTGAGCTCCACCTGGAGTTGGCTGAGTGCACCCTGACCACCTGTGCAGAATCATTTATTCCTGAGAGCTTTCAGATGGTGATGATTAATTATTAGAAATGCTGCATATCCACATATGCTCCATGCATCCCCTGCTTGCATAGTTTAATTATTCTGCAATAATTTAATTGCACTGCTTCCTTTTAGCTTCCTGTATCTGCTGGCCCCTATCTGAAGAATCCTTTATTACAACATTGTGTCACTCTGCAGAGGATGCACCTGGAGGGCTGGTCTGGAAATATTTGTGCTGTGAATGCATGTAATTGGGCATGACTGCCCGACTGGTGCAGTCTGTGTTTCCACATGGTGCTGTGCTAAGGTTCATATGCTCCTTAGCTCTCTTATGAGGGCCTTGTTTCTCTTAATTACCTTAGCTATAAGGGATGCTATTCTTTAAATGTATTGGAGAATTATTGCTAACATGAATAGCCTGCATATATCTTAGCAACATGTAGGTCTTAATTCCTCATTCAAAAGCATGGTGGAGCCAAGAACCAGCCCCACTTTCTGAGGTCACTGAGTTCTGGCCCAAGGCATGTCGCAGTGGCAGAGTTAAGACTTCGACACATGCCTCGTTCTTGAAGAGTATGGTAAGTCTGACTCTCAAACTGCTATAATTCTTCTTGAGAATGCTTCTGTGACACAAGAACAGAGAAAATGCACTTCTTAACAGAAGTATTTCTGCAGCTGTCTTCAGGCCCTTAGGACTTATTTTTGGAACAGCGGGCTACCTTTTCACCACTGAGTCTTCTTGGAAATGGGAATCCTGTAGTACAGGTTTCCCGCTTAACTGGTTATCTTTACATGTCGCTGTTTCTGCTTCATCCAAACAGCTGGGATCTTTGAATAGAACTTGAATTGGTTAGGTTGAATTGTGGCTCCAGTAGCAATTCTCTGGTCTTGGTTTTTAGCCTTTACACTGCTGATGGAATAATGTGATCCTTGGGTGCAGCCTCAGTTGGGACTTCTATTATTCTTTGCACTGTGAGAAGTAGGTGCTACTGGTAGGGAAGTTCATTGCCTTTATGCATGTTTGGTGTTAAGGAATACTTCCATGCCTTCGTTATAAGCCAGTACAACAGCTGCAAGTCAACACCGATTCCTGAAGGCACATTTCTACTGTGCATGTAAATTATGAAGACTTCCTCTTTAATTTGTTAGTGGAAAAATATAAAGGAGATGGGGCAGTGGGATAAGATCTCATACTAAATGTAAAGCAGATCCAGTTATTTACCATTACTTGTTTATTACACTTAGATTTCAAAAATAAGATACCTGTCTGTGCTGTTCCATCCGTTGCACTAAACAGGTTACTTGTGGTTATCACTGCATGTGTTTTTTGATGAACTTTTTCTCTGGGGTAGGCACCCACTCCATTGCCCCCATTTCTTTGCATCCTCATCTGCACTTTTTTGTCGTTTGCTACACTGCCCAGGGCTGTATTCTTGAAGCCTGCCCTAGTAGTTTCCCCAGGAAAGGCTTTCAGAGCACAAACACTAAGAAAAACCAATTCCAGGGCCAATCAAAGGCTGCAAATGCTGAGTCCTTCAATGCTCTGTGACCCAATCTGCCCATGTGAATGTCCAAAATTGCTTCACATAGTTTTGTGCTATCTCCAGCTTAAGCCTCCGTGCATCTGTATGACACAGAATGGAAACTCAGCATTACAATCCAAGATAGCCCTGTGACCAAAGAAATATTTGGGGGACATGGAAAATCTGGGTTTCAAACCCTTACTCAAAAACTTTCCAGTTGAGAACTCGTGGTCCCATGTGAGTTTTTGACTTCTTGATGATTACCAGGCTGTAAGAGTCAAGTGTGTGCAAACACTGCTGTCACACCAAAGCATGCTGCTTGCTGTGTTAGCTCTGTCAGGAAGTGTGCTGGAGGAACGCTGCCTGCTAGGTTTTAGGTAGAGCCACTTGCTGAATTATTGCTGGGTCCCATAAATTCACATGGGTGTTCTGGCCAAACTTACCGAGGATTTGGGATGTAGCAGTGCTTGAAAGGTTAAGGCTGTGCTGAAGTCCTCCCAAGGCTCTAGTTTTATGCACAGCATGGAGCTACGCACAGCAACCTGTTTCTGAGGAGCTGTGCAGTTGCAGCCTCTCTGCTGCCCTGGAAGGTGGTGGGCTCACGGTATCATTTTGTGACTGTTTGTCTCATCTCCCTGCAGATAAACATTCCATGTATCTGTACGTCCATGCAAATGATTTAAAAAGAAAAGAAAACGTGCAAAATTCTTCTGAATTTTGTACGTCGCTGCAGAAAGGAGTTTTGTAAAGATGAAGACCTGCTTAATTTTAAAATGACACCATCCTGTCAACAACGGCCTTGGTGAGCCGCAACCCTATGTATCTATGAAAACTTAGGAGAAAAAAGGCTTTGCAGTTTACTGGAAATATTTTTTTTACTTCATTGTTCTATTTTCAGTAAATCTTTTATGAATGGCTTGAAGTGTTTCATGTTGTTATATATTTGGAGAACAATACAAATTCTATTATTGCATAGTTTTGAATTGGAATGCACACAAATCACTGCAGAAAGCTAAGTTTTCATTCCTTTCCCCTTGTACAAAGACTGGCAGAAACATCAGTGCTAACAGGGGATCTACCTCCTCCTTTTTGTGCACATCTTGTGCTTTACTCTTCAGTTAAAAGGAACAAAGGTTAGAAATGACACTCGACTTTGCATTACCACTGGCTTCCCTATGGTTTTCAAGTGTCCAGATCTGTCTGATATGCAGAAGAGTAGTAAGGACAATAATCACTACATTCTGCAATATCAAGCAGATTGCGTAGATAATTTTCGGTGAAGAAACTAGCTGTCATTGTATCTGTGTTTGGATTCCATCCTTATCAGCCCCTGTGAGTACTACAGTGGGATGACGTGTGCTGGGAGAGAAGAGGAGGAAAATGCAATTGTGAAGTCAGCCTTGATAAAGAGAGCTCTGAAGCTGGGCTGTAGGGGTGTCTGGTTTTGAAGCATGTTGTGATTGAAACTATGTCTTAAGTTTGAATACTAGTATATTATAGCTGCTATTAGGAAAAAAAAAACCACTCACTGTCTTAGTAAAACTCATTTTCTTTTGCTAATTGCAGCATATTGAGCTACACCACAGCAGCAGGTGATGGGAAGTGCCTTGCAGTGACTAATCCAACTTTGTGCATTGGATTTTAGAAGCTCTCCTGGTATCGTGGCATGATTGTTTCAAGCAGCAAATCATTGTAACAATGAACAGAATAGTTCAGTGTTTGTTTGGACAGTTTGGAATTTCCTGCTAACAACAGAGATGGATATGACACAATTTAGGAGCACTATTCAGACCACCAAGTTTTCCTTGATCAAACAGACCAGTTTTAACATTTTTTGTTCTGTGCAGCATTCAGGCTTCAGCATCATAAGCTGTCAGTTCCACTAATTCATGGTATGTTCCTCAAGGATCAGTACCACCCCTCCACATTGTTCAGCACCACTATTTTTACTGACAGGGCATTACAGCTTACAAAAACATAGGTGCACAAAATGGCTGTGGCAAGTAAAGTGAAACTGTCTACTTTAGGTTTTCAAAGCTTAATGAATGTAATTGGTACCTTATACTTTCAAATCAAAACATTCATCTTACTGTTATGGTCCCCTGCTATTCAGGCTTGGGACCAATCGTATCCTAAAAACTTCTATCATTAGTCTTCAGAATCTGCTACAGTAAGTCTAAGATGAGATAAGACAGAACGGAATTAGTTTAAGTAATAAATGTTTAATCAAAGAATTTTACATATTATTAACAGCATTCATTTGGCCAAACATCTACATGGTTGTAGTATCCTACTTGTATATAAAGTGGGAATGTATCAAGTATAGACTATGAAAGTGCAAATAACAATTCAAGGTTAGAGTAATTTTTTACATTATAAAATTAACAGGTTTACAAAATAGTCTTGCCAAACTTTATTTTTGAATTGTAAAGTCAATGACTATGGTGTTAAAATAAGTACCAAGAAAATACAAATTTAATAGGCTAATTTCATGCTCGTAAGAGTAACACGGAAACAATGAATATACTGCACAACCTAACCAAATTACAAAAAACCAGAACCCACAAACTTCACTATCTTCACAGAGAGCACTCTTAACGTATCTTACTGTAGCTTTGCAAGACATCTCAATGCAATACACACGATCTTTGTGAGAAATCTTCCTATCCAGAAATTCAAGGAAGCTATGTGAGCTAAACAACTTCCAGGCCAATTCATGTTGACAGTTCACAAAGAACTGCTTTAGTTGAAGGATTTTATACCGTACAACAATTTTAAATAGGTATTTTGCAAAGATGTCCAAAAGTTCATGATTATGTCAGGAAAGGGGCAGCTAGAGGGAAAGCTGGTAAACGAGTTGAGACTACTCTATTCCATTCTCTCTAAAGATGCTTGCAAAATGATCTAGGTTCTTAAGGGGTAAGGGTAAAATATTCTTACTTCAGTTTTTACTAATACGAACCTTGTGACTGCAAGGTTCAAAAGCAGGATTTGCATGAATTCAAAACACTCACTTGAACTCACAGTAATCAATACATAAACTTTGCTATCATGACACTTGCCTATACACACTCAGTAGTAATAAACTTTTATATCATATCAAGAAATTTCTGGTAACAGTTAAGCAAAACTTAAAATGGAGTGTATGTAATTTGCTTGTGTTATGAAAAGGTTTGATTATATGTAATTAAAACAGCCATTTCAACAACTTACTCTAGTTGTAATTACATACTGTACCATTGTATCTCACTAACTGTAGATTGATGCTTTTAAGCAAATCTAAAACCAGTATTTTTTTTATTTTCACGGTACAACGACTAGGAAGGGGTTTTTTTTTGTGTGTGTTTTTTTTTAACACTAAACAGTAATCACACAGCAAATGAATATTGTGCAATTGAACAAATACCTAGCAGTGTTTTGTTTATACGAAAACACTGATTCAACACTTAGTTATTTACTGTAAAGGCAAGGCCATGGGTGGTTGTATGGAGGTCTTTGCAATTAATAGCATAGTTACTCCAGAACAGACACTGAAATTGAATTACTTGTTTAACTGTGGCAACTATCCAGTTGGGTTTGGCAAAGGCACCGTAACATGTTGAGCAGAATCTGTTATCTGAACTTTAACTGTGGGACTGGCTAATGTATGAAAATCCTGTATTCCTATATTTTTATAAAATGTTATCATTAAAAGTAATTGCACTATCAGTGCATAGAATGCTTTGTAGAATTATGAAAACAAAGAACTATGATTGCACTTCCATTAAAGTGTCTCTTAAAATACAGCATAGCTGTTGCTAATTGACTGTATTTTAATATTTAAAATAACTGTTTAACAGCAGCATTAGGTTTTATTAACTTAAGATACAGGCTACATTTGATTAAATGCAGTCACCATGGCAACACATGCCAGTTAAATTTAGAGAAGCAATGCTACCCAGTGGTTTCTTTCACTGCTAAGAATTGTGGGATTAGTTTGATAGAGTAACACCGCCCTGTTTGATCAGGCTACTGCCAGCTAACTATTCACAGTTTGGCACGTTTGGACTGTAAATAGACATGAAAAAATCTTTGATTTTAATGTGAAGGAATATCCCCTAAAACTTGTTCCTGGAGCAGTACTAAAGAGAAGCATTAAATACCTCAGATCACACTGCTAAATTGCTAAATGTTGTTTTGGTGAAAGAATGAGTTCCAAAAAAAAAAAAAAAAAAAAAAAAAAAAGGAATAAACTGTTTCTTAGAAAAAAACCAAAATAATCAGTGTAAGCCTTTAATCCAAACTTTAGAGTTAAGGATCAACAACCTAAGGCTAAACAGATGCTGCCTTGTATTAGGAATGTGGAATACAACCTACTTATTCAATTTTCTTGAGAGCAAAGAGGCAAGTACTACCAAATTAAATGGAAAGGATATTCCTTGAAAGTTTCACATTATTACAAAGAACTACAATTCAAGAGAGCCTCTAAATATCCGTTGTTACGTCAGTGGTTACAACTGAGCTGTAGTTATGTGGATCCAAGCCTCCATAATGCTTACTCCACATACTGTACCATCTGTCACTGCCATTTGCTTACTTCGGATTTAGTTTTTGTTCATACCAGATGCACACGTTCAATCCATTCACTTGAGGTTTGAGGAGTCTGATTTGAAGCATCTCCTGAAGCATCCAGGGTGCTTGTTACTTCCCTGGTATTATCACCACCTTGCGAAACTGTTTCACCTGGAATAATGTTTTCTTCAGAAGTGCCTTCCTCTGTTTGCGTTCCTCTGCCTTCGTTTTTGAGTGCATCCTCAAATAGCGCATGCTCTTCCTGAAGCTCCAACCCTGTGTCTCTAACATTTGCCCGCCCTGCTGACCCATCTTCAGTACTGGGTTGCTGCGAATCCTCATCTGTTTCTGTACTTGTTGAAGGGATCAGAGCAATACTCTGTGGATTCATGTCATGAAACCAGGCCATAATATTTCCAAGAAGATTTTCATTGGTATTGGGATCTTGACTACTGGAATCAGCATCACTAGATGTTGAGTATAATCCACCTCTTGTATCGCTGCAGGCGTGTGAATGAAGTCGATCGACCAAAAACGGATCGCTGCCTGCCCCTAGTCTCATCAGGCTGTCACCGAGTTCTAACAGCTCAGAGCTGCTCAAGGCGGCTCTTGGGTTATCTATACTTATGGGAGCAGAGTCCAATCTTGTAGGTAGAGACGTACCTATTGCTCCTAAAGATGCCTCGTTATTCAGAAAGTCTCTAGTTTCTTCGTCTATGGCTAAGCCAGATTCTTGTAATGACAACTGAATAGCTAGCAGGATGTTTGGGTCGTCTTCATCCAAAGAACTCAGGGCCTGTGGAAATATATAAGGTTGCTTTTAGAATAGAACTTTCATCTTGTAACACATTTTGGACTGAAAGCAATTTGGTCTCAAATCTATGGGGTTGGACTCAATGATCTCTGGAGGTCCCTTCCAACCCCTACAATTCTGTGATTCTATGACTAAATGACACGTGATTTATCAGAATCATTTTTACTGACACAGTTGCCAACAAATTAAAAGCTAATTATTGTTACAATAACAATCATTCAACAATTCTTACCGGTGAGAATGTACAAGTTGTTGTCCTAGATTCTCCCTTTCTCATTGAAGAATTAAGAAAATTTGCAGAGACAAAATGACACAGAAAAGCAGAGCAGAAGGTGGCAAGCAAAACAGAGGGAATGGAGAAGAGATTAGGGGAGATACCTGCAGAGAATCCTGGTTTTCAGAGCGACTGACAGGGGTATAGTCATGAAGTGAAGAGCTGTGCAGAATACCCATAGAAGCTGAACTCACCATGGAAGTGCCATGTCTTCTGCTACTGCCACCTTCCTGAGTGTCTGTATGGGCAATTCAAACAAATACATTTGAAGAGCAAGCAAGAATGCCTTCTTATATAAATAAGAATATAAGTAAATACCATTATTTACTGACACAATCTCTTGCCTTCCTTTTGGGTTCTAGCTGTGTAATTCCAGTCTTTTATTCACTCTTAACTGAATTATCCAAAACCACTCATTTTACACCAACTCTTCTATGGAGACAAAACAATGCTGTCTGTTTCATTTGTGCCTTTCTACTCTCAATAGCATTCTTTCACCCTCTGAAAGAATGTGCTATGTTGTCAGCAGCATAAGCTCACTGGCAGGGGGAGCAAAATGCTTCCAAAGCATGTACATGAGTTATGGAAAGTCCTGAAAAATACTGCACATTGACTCTCTGCCCAACCTGTATTCTGTATTCTTTCTCAATCTGCCATCCATCATGATCTGTCTCTACAATTCCTTTTGGAAATTTTTGCCAGCATGCACTCAATCTCAAGTATATGGGTTTGGTTTTATCCTTTTGCCTCTTTGTTTGTCACTCTGCATGTCTTCACTAATACCCTATTTTCAGAGCCTTTATGCTATTAATTAGACACTGGCCTGAAAGACACTATGGAAATTCAGTGTGATTTAGAGCTTACAATTTATTTTAAGCAAAGGACACAGCATGGAATTCATCTGCAGGGGGCTTAAAACTGGTGTTGTCCCATTTCTGTTCTTGCAAAGACAACAACTCATCTGTAATGCTAACACTACATCAATTTATACTGCAACGCTGCAGCACAGTTAAGAGCAGAGCTGTTAGTGTATATGTCAGCAATCTAACAAACTAACATCTCTGTCCTCTTAAAGCAACCAACAAAAAATAGGAATAAAATACTGTTTCAAAAAAATTATTCTGTAATGAAAATAACTACTCTCAATTTGAAAAATGGAATTTTCCACTTCAAAACACAAAGGGAAACACAGCAGACAAACTAATTTTCTCTGTTAACAGTGCACACTGTCACTAAATATCCAAGTGTTCAGTCAAATTCTAGTTCTCAAACTAGTAAGATGGTTTCGCACTTTACTTGCAATAGTGAAAGACCAAAGTTCACCATACTTTTTCTAGTTTCTAAAATAAAGAATGTATTTGTTATTTTTTCTCTTTGTTAATAAAACACAAGCTATAGGGCTTAAATTCATAAGGACATAGAGATGAGAATTTTGCAGCCTGGCTTAGAAGTGAAGCACACACCTGGAAGCTCTGAAGAATGAGAATCAGAAGCCTATTTGGATTGGAGCTATTTTTGTACCTTTGCAAAGGCTCCTGGCAGGACACAGACAGCACAGAGAGCCAAGTGACAGTGACCTTACTTCACTGCTAGCATAGCTCAGCCTGGGAGAGCAGCGTGCTGGCAGTCATAGCTCATGCCAACTTGTCTCCAGTACTTGGCCAATGCAGGAGTTTCTGAGCAGGGTTTTGTAATACAGTCTTATGGCTATCATCCAGCAGTCCCGTAGCAGAGGGAATCTTGTCTAGACTCTAGGCACAACTGGTTTTTTTAATTTGCATTAAAAAAGCTGGTATGTAGATAAGACTAGCATATGAAATATGCATTTTTAAAAATTTCTTCAGGAAAGCAAACCTGCTCTAAATAGCTACGGACTTGTTACTGGGAATATCAATGCATAACTCTTTAAAAAGTGTAACAGCCACAATTAAAGTCAGCAGCTCTTCTAAAATCACATACAAAAGTGCAAGAATAAGGTTTAACACTGCATTCTGTAAAATATAATAATATATTTGAAACCCGTTTGAAGTGCATCCAAAGAAGAACAAACACTGTGGTTGCTACTAGCAACTTCTGAAGCAGCAAGAGAGAATAAACAGCCCCAGGCAGGAGCGTACCTAATGTACTCTCACTGGGGTCATCAGGATCTGGAGTATTACTCAGCAGGCTGTGCATGTCTCCACGTCGACGCTGCCTGTGCCTCCTCCGATACTGAAATTCAGCATATTCCTGCATAAACCAAAGGTTACAAAACACAGGGCAGCATGCAGTAATATTTTCTGACGCAACAAGCAACACATTTTTTTTATTTTTTATTAAAAAAAATGTGTGATTTTATAGTTTTATTATAAAATCACCTGTTTTTAGAAAAGCAAATTGCAGGTTGTATCATGCATCATACTTCAACAAAAAGAAACAAATCCAAAAAGCAATCACCAGGTAATCCTAAATTATAAAATAACGGATTAGCAAATAAAAATACTTGAGGCATTACCAACATTTTAATACTTGCAATCTTCCTTTTTAAAGAATTCCAGGTACACTTTTTGTGTTTAAAAACTTTGATGCCAAACTTTACACACGCACACACACGTTTTTTGTAGACATATACCTAAAGATTTTAGAACATTAAGGCAATTAATGCGAGTTAGACAAATAGGTCATGTCTGGGTCCTGTTGCCAGCAATGGCCAATCCAAAGATTCTAATCTTTGGAAAAATATAGAGCCAGCTGATACATACTGGTACTTGTTATTTTTTTCCCAGGCTCTAGGCTCAGGAACAGCCACAGTTGATACTCTTTTATTGAGCAACTGTCATGGTTTTATTGATAGGTTTTTATCCCACGAATTACAAATTTCCTACTGTTGCCTAATCTGAGCTGATAATAAGCCACACCCCACAGATCTGAACTCCTGCAGACTATAATTTCTCATGCTGTATGTATTATGCATTTACCAATGACAGTTTGCGTAATATCCATGGGATAAATTCATTTCTGACTATATTACACTAAGATCCCAAGAGTTACTTATCTTTATTATAATTTCCATGTAAATTCATCTGCTAATATTGAGAGACTAATTTTCTGCTTGAATGCAAATTTTCAGACTTTTTTTGGCTAGTACCTGACTGTGTAGTTAGTGTTTCATTAATCACAGTAATTTATTTACACAAGGGAATAAAATCAGGCACACTGGTAGTAGTTTTCTTATCAGAAAGGAATACTCCTTTCTTCCCTAAGATCCACCTTGGGAAATCTGCAATCCAGAGGTTTCCTTTGACCAGACGATTTCTTAAAGACAGCATTACCATTAATGTTGCTTTCTTTCATTTAGTCTGCATCCTAGAACATCTCAATATCTAAGGTATCTAAATCAACAAGTGTCAGTTCTCTTACACAACGACCTTATTAATTTTGATGGTGTTGTAATGTTATGTTGTCTTTCCATTAAGTGACCTAGACCAAGCTCTTATTTATGATGACATACACAAGCTAAAAAGAACTGTCATGAAATGATCAGCATGGGAAGATTTTTATCTATTTAAGAAATTGTTCCATGAAAATTGTAAGAACATACAAATAACTGTAACTGACCACATGAAAGATCCATTTAGCCCAACAATCTGTTTTGAGCAGTGGTTAATAGTAGGTACTTATGGGACAGAATAAAAAACAGGGCAAGCACGAAGTGATCAGTTGTCCTTCCAGTTCCTAAGGAGTCCTGCATTTCCTGTAATGGAAGGCAGACCCCCAGAGAACAGGAAATGAAATTTTGATGTCAAGCAATATAAATGAATTATATATAAACATACATAACAGTATCACTATGAATCAGATAAGGAATAACGTGAAGTGATCACAGAACACTAAAGTTTATTAGTCATATTAGATCTTATCTTTCATCTGCTTTCAAAAGATTTTACCAGTAGCCTCTTAACTATAATTTTGCTTGTTTTCGTTTTTCAATGTATGAAATATGCAACTCAATTACTGCAGCTAAAATTTACTTCTGTTTACTTGCAACAATTTTTGAAATGTGAACTAAGGAACTTTTATTTTGTTGGATAGGAACATCATTGTTTCACACAAGGACATTCAACAATCAGCATTCTTTGCTAAACCCACTAAGATTTTATTTTCTGTGATAACATTATGCACAGATCTTCTTGTGAAAGTACAGCTCTACATCAAAAACTGTGTATTGAAAAAAATCACTAAAACAAACAATGACCAATATTAATTCTACAAAATTCATTTAGCATAGGTGGTTGCAAGTATCCTTCCTCTCTACAAAGCAAAGAAGCCAACTTGCATTATGCAGTGCCACATTTAGGCAAATCATAAAAACTTACAAGCTATCATCTAAGCATGACTGCAATGGCACCTGCTGCTAAACAGCTCATCAACATACTGCTTATCAGCTTCTCATAACCAGTTCCACTAACAATAAAATACCATCACAATGAGTTTGGTATTTTAGAACACGGAATTATTTCAAAGGAAAGGACTAAAGGAACTAGACAAGAGAAGCAAGTTGATGTTTTGTAGAGAAGCAAGCTATTTTCTCACCAGCATGATGCTCACCAACAACAATAGCAAAGGAAATATATAGAAAAAAGTACATGGAGTTTTCCGGGATGCTTTAAAATGACTAGCTAGAAAGAAAACAGCAGCACGGAAATGTTGAGATGAAGCTTCCTTCCTAACTTAATGCTTTAATCTAATGTTCTCAAAATACAAAATAAAGTTAAGATAATAAAGGCAAGCTTTATAGGAAGCTTCTTGTTTTACTGCAGTCTTGAAAATTATATACTCTTTTCCCATATGTGGGTAGAGAAATATTCATTTAAAAATTGTTGTTTTCATTCTCGGTTAAATCTCGTTTAAGTAAGCAATTTCCATCCTGCTTTAATATATAAAAATGAAAAGAAACACTTCAAATGTTTAACAATATGTGGGTATATGCCTGTAAGTTTTTGTTGAGTTGTTAAAGAAAGACAGGAATTTCTTAGGCTTTGCCAAATTCTGCTGAAATAATGTTGCATTGAAAAGTAATCTACGTACGTATTATTTATTTAGTCTTTTAAGGCTCCCCAGCACATAGAAACCAGTTTATTCTAAACCTGGTTACGTACTTGGAAAACTGTGTATTGTTAAGTAACTATAGTCATGTTAGTGTCACTGCAGTTAGGCATTCATATATATATTTCCTTCTATTGTGAAATAAATAAAATGGTAAGCTTAAACCAGCTTGAGATGCTTTGTATAAGGAAGCTCTTCATGCAGACCACAATCATACCTGTGTTTCTAGAATATGCAGAACTAATTTAAATATGTAAGAAGAAATAGTTTACCTCAGGGGATGCAAATCCCAAATACTCCCAATCCCATGTTCCACCAGCAAAGCTATAAAGTTAAGAGAATTAAGTTTAGAGTTGGAACAAAGTATGAACAACATAAATAGCTTCAAAACCTATCAACGTATAAACAGTGCAACTCTACCGCTCTTAAATCTTCTCCTTTAATGCTTACCTTGCAACTCATTTAGAAAACCATGAAATTGCAATATAAATACTAAAGAAGTGAAAGAAAACCCCACCAATTATCGCAATCACAGTACTCAAGGATATTTACTGCACTTAGCTTTTGAAGCAATTTTAAAAGCCAGCAGAGGTTTCTCATTTGCAGTTTCATCCGCAGAGTCTGATTAACAGCATATGTGCATTTGAGTTTGTGAAAAGCTGCAATTCCACAGTGATCAAATGACAAAGAAAATGTAACTATCTGGTGATCTACGGCCACCAATTTTATCGGCTCCACTTCACCTCACTTTGATCATTACCAAATGAACTTTTTTGAGTTGCACAGTATTTTGTTCGGTTTACCTGCGCCTGGGAGCTTCTGGTGAGTCTGCAGGGGCGACACCACGGGCCACAGAGGCTAAGAATTCCTGCCGCTTTTGCTGCACAAGACAAGCTGCACGGATGATTTTATGGCGAGGAGTCCGAAGGTAAGGCCTGTTTACTTTCTGTGCAAGGTCTTCAGTGACCATTTCCAGGTCTGTCTGCAATGAATGAAAAAAACACAGAATAAAATGAAATGGAAATTTCATTTGTGTTCAGTTTTGGGCCCCTCACTACAGGAAAGATGTTGAGGCCCTGGAGCGTGTCCAGAGAAGGGCAACGAAACTGGTGAGGGATCTGGAGCACAAGTCTTACGAGGAGCGGCTGAGGGAGCTGGGATTGTTCAGTCTGGAGAAGAGGAGGCTCAGGGGAGACCTCATTGCACTCTACAACCTCCTGAAGGGAGGCTGTGGCGAAGAGGGATTTGGCCTCTTCTCCCAAGCAACGAGCAGGACATGGGGCCTTGCAGCAAGTTGTACCAGAGGAGGTTTAGGTTGGACATAAGGAAGAACTTTTTCTCTCTGAGAGTGGTCAGGCACTGGAATGGCTGCCCAGGGAGGTGGTGGAGTTGCCATCCCTGGCAGTGTTCAAGAGGCGTCTGGACAACGTGCTGCGTGATATGGTTTAGTGCTTGTGGTGGCAGTGGTGATGAGGAGATGGTTGGACTAGATGATCTTATAGGTCGTTTCCAACCTTGTGATTCTGTGATTCTACGAAATCAGGCGGAGCTCTACGCCATAAACACTGAACGGAGTGATTTCCTTTCTTCTGAAAATAACATCCAGACAGGAGTCTCATCAGCTCTCATATAATTATTAAAGCTATTGAAATTACAGCTTATTTAGCAAGATGACCTGTGTTGTTTTTTTCTGGCAGTCTGTTCTTTCTTCTTTTATTTAAACTTACCAGAGACAAGAGTCATTTTTTAATTTGGTGTTCACTATCTTGTTTGAAACAACAGTTTTGATTCATCACTAAAGACTCTGAGGTGGAGAATGACTAAGCAAGACCAAAGTCGTCAGTGCATGCCTGGAAGCCTGCTCTGTAAGAACTGAAATTTTATCACCTGCCTCAGCTTGTCCACAGTCATTTGTGTCCTGGCTCCAACACTAACTCATACGTGCAGCCACTCAAACTCCTGCTCTCTGAATTTCAGTTGCCTAGTTATTCCAAGTGTAACAAGCCATTTGCGGTCTCCAAATATCTTGCCTATGCCTTTATTGATCTAAATGTTCCTTTCCTCCAGCTTGCCGTAGGGCTTCCCTGCACACATATACACACTGACCATCTTTGGGGATCCTAAAGGAAAGGAAAGCAGCAGCAGCCCCTGCAGCTGATGTCACTACTACCCATGTACTCTCCCAGCTGTGCCTGCACCCACTCATCAGACACATTATCACGCCAAGACAGGAAATAGGAGCTACATAAGGAGAAAAAACAACTTAATAGAAGTTCCACCCCACCACCACCAATTAATCCCTTCTCCTTGTCCAAGCCTCCTCTGCAGTATGGAAAGCACCGATGCAAGTGTTTCTATTTGCTGCTTTTTGGAGAGGGATGCTTCCAGATTTGGGCTACAAAGATTGCTCAAAATTACAACTTAGCTAAAAGGAGGTTGGTTAGCAGCAATAATTTTCTTTTTTTTTTTTCCCTTTCCACCTGTCCTTACTCTTTGGTTCTGCAGTAAAGTGTTGTTTTTCATTCATTCTAAAATTGAACTAAATGCTATTGTGCCATAGTGTTAAAAATCCATGTCTTACTCAGACTTGGTTACAAATATGAAGTATCAGTTTTGCACTACAAAAGTAGACACACGACACTGATAACTAATACTACAAAAAATGTAATATTAGAAAAGCAAGCTATATGCATGTATTACCTGCATAAGTTCAAATATTTCTTTCTTTGTGCTTTTAGGCTCCAAAAAGAATCCATATGGATAAGAACACTTGAGAATGCGTCGAGTTTTCAGAAGCTCCTGTACTGCATCTTCAATGAATGTGGTATCAGGACAGCCTCCCTCAGCTGTAAGATAATAAAACACTGTGAAAATATTCTCCTGCTGATGTCAGCATTTCTTTTAGTGTAAGAGTTTTCCACCAAAAATGTGCACATCAGCTAAACTCCAGCAGCACAGCAGCAGGTTCTCAGTGAGTGTACAGTCTTCTTACTATAAGAAGTGAACACAGAATGTTAGCTTCTCTCTTATTAGTGCCATTTCCTCTGTGTGAAATACGTAAGATTTTACTGTACATTTAGCTTTCATCCACTGCTTATGAATTCTAGTTCCGGAGGGATCACATCACACAACAGACTGATGTGAGCTCTATTCAAAATAAAAGGTTTAGCCATAACACATTTGATTTCAAATCAAATTCACAGTTCATAGCAAATACAAACAAGTTCTACTTACTTCCACTGAGAGCTTTACTCAGCTGCTCCATCTTTTCTTTGGCTGTTTTTAGAAGGCGCTGTTCTAACTAGAACAAGTAAAGAACAAGTAAGAACAAATAAAATACAATATGCTTTTTTTTTTTTTAATGGATGAAATGTAAACAAGAATGAATAAATATGGTTTGTCCCATACCTGGTAGCTAAGTTCATGGTTCTTAAACCTTGTGTAATAGTGCATAAACCTATCCAGTTCTTGAAATCTCCTATGCTTCTTTTCAGCCTGGAAAAGAAGAATACAAACCAGGACAAATTTAATGGTTTAATTTAACAATTATTGTTGGCTACAATCTCATAACTGTTTATATTCCCACCAAATGTGAAGCATTATACCCAATGCTGACAGGTGCTATGCACAAAAAGACAAATGTAAGTTTTGAATGTCCAAGCCTGAAAATACTCTAACTAGAGTTAATGTACTGTGTGCATACTATTTTTAAGCAGACTTTCCAAATGCCAAAATTAAAACATGTCTTCTGAAATGCACAGAGAGTACCACCACACCCATTTCAGAAAAGGAAACCATGACATAGGAAAGTAAATCAACTAGTCTAAGTCAACCAGTGGCTGTCAGCAAAGACAGATGACGAACTAAATCTTATGCTTCTATCCACAAATAAGCATGTTTTCTTTCTGTCCTTTGCTTATTTTTAAGGTTATATTTTCTCTTTTAAAACCTCGGTTGGGAAGAATTTTGATTGAACTTACCCTAAACACCAAATTGCAGCCTTAGTACTACTATGCAAGCAGACATTTTTGTTACCTCTACTGTCATCTCTTTGGACTGTTCCTCTACATGCTGAATAACCTCATAGCGAGTACATCTGTAGTATCCTCCTGTAGAAGAGCTGTGCTTTTTCCATTCTTCTAAGCATATCCAGCAAAAATCATACTTGCACTTCAGAGAAAACACAAAAAACAAGACAAAAACAAAGAAGCTGATACATTGTAGGTATGCAGTTAAGAAAAACTAGCACCATTCTGGGACCATAATACTTGTGGTCTAAACAGAACTGTTGTGGAGCCTTTTTCCTATTTCATGTATTATAGAAGATCATGGTTATCAAATCATGAGAGTCAGAATTTTTGTTCACCGAATCAAAAGGTCATGTGTAAGCTACAAGTTAAGCTGTAAGTGTATGAAATAAATCAAATGATAGAGCTCATTAGATCTGTTTTGTTTGTTTGTTTGCTTGCTTTTTTAAACAGTAACACTGAAACTGCTAATGAGAAAGGGTGAATTTTAACAAAACTTAAAAAGTGGAATTATCAGAAAGCTTAATTTCTCAGTCAATAAAATGAAACTAATAGTTTACACATGAGCGTGACTTATCTGTAAAGCACTCAAAACAAAATATTTCAGTTCTGTAAATGCAATTCTACTGATCTTATCTGCATTTTCTTTTGTTGCTTTTTCCAGTTTGGGAAAGTGATTTTCAGTATCCTGAATATTCTCTTGATGGAGAAGAACAGTTTCTCACTCAATCCTAGTATGTTTGCACAATGACCATTACCAGTAATTCAAGAGATGTGCTTCTGAAATCTGTTCCCAGCTGCAACCCTGCTGGTATCATTGTAGTGGAATGAATGTGAAAGAAATACTATGACTTAATATTTGCTGTAATGTAGAAAGAGCATGCAAAACCTTTGAAGTGCCCAACTAATTGCACCTAAGAAATAACAAAAAACATAAGCCTAAAGAAAACAGAAAGCTTAAGTGAAAGCTGTGTCTTCACTAATTGTACAATCATTGAACTGTTTGAGTTGGAAGGGAGCTTTAAAGGTCATTGGTCCAACTCTCCTGCAATGAACAGGGACACCTACAGCTAGATCAGGTGCTCAGTGCCCTGTCCAACCTGACCTTGAATGTCTCCATGAAGACATAGGGGCATCCACCACCTCTCTGGGCATCCTGCTTCAGTGCTTCACCACCCTTATTATAAAAAGCTTCTTCCTTATATCCAGTCTAAATCTCCCCTCTTTTAGTTCGAAATTATTTCCTCTTGTCCTATCACAAGGACAGCGCTGAGCGGGCTGAACAGCTCAGCAATACGCGTTTACGCTCTTGTTTCCTAATAGCAATTAAAAAAATGTAATTACCAATATTTTGGTCATGTGGTGTTCCTAATGCAAAACAGTAATAGTAATAGCAACTACTAAAGCAAGCAAGTAAAAACAGAACTTTCAATAATGATTTCAAGTTAGGCCTCTTCTGCGTTTACTGAGCAGAAAGCTTTTAAAACAGGTAACAGATTACAAGGAGACCTGTCATATCCAGACTTCTTTTCAACAGAGAAGATTGAGCTATTATTCTCAACTCAGCACTGAATTCTCAGCAGGGTTATTTCAAAATAACCGGAAGCTGTCTAGAAATGGATGGGCAGAAGACTATGACTTGGTCACCCTATTCATTTAATCTGTTTTACTGATGAACAAAGAAAAATCCTGAAAAACTGAAGCAAAAATTAATGTGAAGTAGTAAGAAGCCATTAATATTATTACTGGAATTCAATAAATTAAACCACATTTTTCTTCTCTTTTGTAAGTTTAACCTTTCCAGAAATATCTAGTCCATACCAGATGTGTTCATAAGTAGTGACTCCATTCAATTACATATATTACAATTTCTGCATTACACTTTTGCTAATTTTGTCTCACATGTGACATTGACTTTCTTCTAAAAAGCAATGCAGACAAAGGTATTTCTGCTATTGCGCTGCACCTTCTCTGTTCTTAAATTTTTTTTGAAGGTGCTTGCTTTTACAAAATGGTAAGATGAGTGCTGAGAATTAAGTAGAAGAGTAGCTGTGCACAAAAATCTTAAGAGTCTATCACTGAATTGTCTATTATTCAGAAATGCTCAAAACATAATAAAAAGTTGCATTATATAAAAAAAGATTATGAAATAAGTTGCAAGCAACACAACTACTAAAGCTTAATTTCCTATTAATTTATGTATATATGTTCCCACTGCAATAATACCACCTTTCCCAAATTATCTCCCTTCATTATCACTTCACCATATGCATCCTCTAATCTTGCACATCTTGAAAAGCTTCCTCAATAAACCAAGACTCACCCACTGTTCCAGGACCCTTCTCTAATAACTTACTCTCATTAAATATTCAAAAACATGTCCATCTGTTTGAAGTTTAGTTACATCTCCTAAAACCTGAAGACTCTGCTTTACTTGCTTTTATGGTGAGCTGTCCGTGATGCTGCACAGGCTAGGCTTTACAAATGACATGTTTGCTGCCTGAACCAAGCAGGAGAGGCAATAGCTGAGCAGGTAACTGCTCAATAGGTATTTTAGCCTCTCCCTTGGTGGCAGTACAAATTAAGTCTCTGCACAATACAACTACCCAATGTCATGAAATCTGCAGTAAACTAGTATCCATGAACTCTTTCCTGTATCTAGTTCAAAGTACCCAGAAGGTAAGAAAACTACTAGAATTAGGGGAGTGAGAGACGGGGAATGCATGAGCCTTGTTGCCCTAGAAACTAAGCTCGTAAAACAGAACAGTGCCTGCTTAAATACAGAAATGTGATTCTATGACTAAAGTGCATCCTCTACACCCAGGTACATGCTAGCTGACAAGAAGCACTTGCAATTCTCTACTCACTACACAGTAGGCTTCAGCAGAACTTACTGCAGCAAAGGCTGAAGCTTTGGAACACATCCTTACTTTAGGAAGGGACAAGCGAGGTGTCCTCTGTACCTTGCATCTGAGCCCTGTGATGATCCTGAGGATACCATTCTTTTCCCTCCTCACAAGGCTGAGGAGAGGCAGCTTCTGTTTGCAGAGGTTTCTCCATCACAAAAGGAAGCTGACTGTTTTAGGGACAGTTTAAGCTGTTTATAAGGAACAACATCAAAGAGGAATAGAACTGTGGTTGTCAGCCAGCGCTGCAGAATGGTACTAAATTAAATTATCTATACTCTTCAGAAGTTAGTGGCTGAAGCCTCCTCAAGCCCTAAACCATTGATTCTATTGAGATTAGCTCAGTGACACAACAGCTGTCAAATAACTGAAGAGGTTTTGTTACATCCTGAACATTTTGTTACATTGGCTGAACATGAGCTGGCAGCATGCCCAAGTGGCTGACAAAGACAATAGCATCCTGGCTTTTATCAGTGGTGTGGTTAGCAGGACCAGGGAAGGGGTTGGCCCTTCCTGCTCAGCTCTAGTGAGACTCAGCCCGAGTACCGTGTTCAGTTTTGGGCCTGTGGCCCTAAGTACAAGGAGAACATTGATTTGCTGGAACACACTGAGAGAAAAGTGATTAAACTAGTGAAGGGATTAGCTGAGAGCTGTTTAAACTAGAGCAGAGGATGCTGAGGGGCGACTTCACTGCTCTCCACTGCTACCAGAAAGGATGTTGCAGTGAAAAGAGTGTTGGCCTGTTTTCTCAGGTGACAAGTGACTGGACACATGATAACAGACTCGAGTTGAGCAAGGGGAGGTATAGATTGGACATTAGGAAGAATTTCTTCATGGAAAGGGTGTTAGGTATTGGAACAGACTGTACAGGGAAGTGGTGGCATCCATACTCCTGGAGATATTTAAGAAAGGTGTAGATGTGGCATGTAGGCAGATAGTGAATGTCATAGCTTTATGCAATGGTTGGACTTGATCACAAGGATCTTTTCCAACCTTAATGATCCATGATTCTACATCCCATATATGAATTGTTTCCACACTGTCACCAATATAATTATTCTGCAAATAACTATTTCAAATGCTCTTAACTCTGTTTACAGTCTGGAAATTTTCAAATTGTGCTGAACAGCACATCTTATTACATTTTTTATCACTATGGAATTTATGAACTCCTTTAAAAATCATTTAAAAAGGAAAAAAAGAACAGCAAAACTGGCATAAACTGAAGTGGAAGGGAATCTGCTCTTGGTTGCCAAACTACTTCCAAACAAACAAACAAACAAACAAAAACAAAACAACAAACAAAACAAACAAACCACCAAAAAAATCAACAACCCAATCTTCACAAACAGAATACGTAATGATAATATAAAGAAAATAAGATGTGGATATCAATGTAGATTGAGACATATCCAGAAGAATGTACTAGTCTCCACTGCTAAACCTCTCAGTTTTTTATTGGAAGACAATTATATTATATATGTGCAACTTTCTCATTTTTAATGATCCTCCTCAAAGAGACATAAGTACGCTAAATATGCCATTTTTAACTAGTTTGAAAGTGTTCTCAAATGCTACTGAACTGCTGGCAAGAAATATTCTATTTTAGTAGCATAGTGCAAACTCATGACTAATTTTTTGGCTGCTGTCACTAATTAGTTTGTTTTGGAATTACTGTTTCCTGTCTTTTCATTCCTACTGTTTAATTAATGTTTACAGTTTCCCATTCAAATTTCTCTGTTTTGTTGCTATATAGAGAAATAACGCAAAAGAAAAATGCAATAAGGCAAAGCGTTCATTAAACCTTACAAATCCTTAAAAAGTACCATCTTCTGGTAACTGAAAATATTATAGAATCATAGAATCACCAAGGTGGAAAATCATCCTGTCCAACTGTCCACCTATCACCAATGTTTCCTACGAAACCATGTCCCTCAGTACAATATCTGAACATTTCTTGAACACCTCCAGGGATGGTGACTCCACCACCTCTCTGGGCAGCCCGTTCCAGCACCTGACCATTCTTGGGGAAGAAGTATTCCCTAACATCCAACCTGAATCTCCCCTGGTGCAATTTGAGGCCATTCCCTCTAGTCCTGTTGCCAGTTACACAGGAGAAGAGGCTGACTCCTACCACACCACAACCCCCCTTTGGGTAGCTGTAGAGAGTGATAAGGTTACCCCTGAACCTCTTCTTCTCCAGAGTGAGCAATCCCAGTTCCCTCAGCAGTTCCCCATAAGACTTGTGCTCCAGACCCATCACCGGCTTCGTTGTCCTTCTTGGCCACCTGGGCTCGGGTCATGTTCAGCCAAGCATCAACCAATATCCCCCAGGTCTGTTTCCTCTACAGTCTTACAGCCATTTTGCTCCAAGCCTGTAGCATTGCCTGGGGTCGTTGTGGCACCTGGACTTGTTGAACCCAGCTATCCAGCCTGTTCAGGTCCCTCCACAGGGCCTTCCTACCCCTGAGCAGATGAACACTTCCTCCCAACTTAGTGTCATCTACAAACTTACTGAAGGGTGCACTGAATACTCTCATTCAGATCATCAGCAAAGATATTGAACAGGACAGGCCCCAGTATTGACCCTCTGTTCATTCTCTTCTACATCATTAATGATGGTTAAACTACCAAGGATTCTGTTCCCTTAAATTTCATACTGTATTGCCAAGAACTGTGAGCTGTTTAGGAAATCTTGATAATTACACTGTACACTTACCAGCCAAATAAACTTCACTAAATACGAAACATCTTCTGTATACATGTAACCCATTATTTGCAGATTACCTAATTTTTGAAACAGATTCCATTAGATCTTAGGCCTGACATTTCAAAACGTTTGGACTTTTGTGCTCCTGAAATGTACATATGACACAACCTAAATTACGTTACCTGAATTCACAACAAATTGTATGAAAGGTCTTTCTTACCTTCGCACATTGCATGTGGTTGCAGCCCTCATTCTTCTGAATTGGAGATTTGCAGTTGGCGCATGGTTTGGAGTTAGTTAGTAACCACAGGCAGTTGGCAGCATCTTCATATGCCTCACTAACTCCCACAACTTCATGAATGTGACAGGAGGATGTGGACCATGTGAAAACAGAGAAGTTGAAATTTTACTTGTTTAATCTTTTGTGAAAATCAGGTTAGTAAAGATACGTGTTTACCTATTTCTTGACAGAATATTGTAATTCTTCATTATACGTACTTAATATACTATATGTATATGTACACATATACAAATACGTATAAAGTACACAAATTACTTCTGTGTATTGTAGTCTATGGCATACATAATACACAGATTATTAAAATATATGTTTAAAAATTGATGTTTGACTCAGCATGGTGCATTTCGAGTCTATAACATTTTCTAGAATAATCTATGACATAATGGAAAGGCTCTGAATTGTTGTAACCAAGTTAAGTTAGTGTTTATTTGAGTAAACGTTTTTTTTTGTTGTTTGTTTCTGCCTGTCCTATGTAAATCCAGATATTGTTAGTTGACCTCCAGGAGTTATTTACCAGGAAGCCATTCTCCATAATTCTCTTGCAATTTACAGTCAACATTACTATTATTATTACCTGTTGCTTTTAAACATTTCTAAAGTATGCAAACAACTGTATGAATACAATTAAACAGAAGTGCAGACTAGGACAAGGATTTTAAGATTTAAATATTTAAGATTAAGATTTTTTGCCTAGAAAACATAAGTTATCTTCATGAAAAAAAAATGAAGGAAGGCTGTAAAAGGAAGGGAGAAGAGTTTCATCTCTCTGAACCATATGCAAATTTATGAGGGAACCGGTAGGAATGGTTTCAGGATAACAGTCTACCATTACTACATATGTCTACCATAACTACATATGCAATTAAACATGAAGTTGCTCATCACTCAGTGGTTTGTTTTGCTTCCTCTTCTTTATTTTTCAACCAATGTAAAGTTTTAATTAATGCAACTAAAAATTCCCTTTAAAAATAAAAGATGACAATGAAATAATAAAGCAAAAAGTATGACTTACGTTCTTCTGGCTTCATTTCAGATATTTTCTGTAGCCAATCCTTCCAGGTTTGGCAGTCACAAGGTTCATGTGCTTCACCAAGACATTCCCTGAACATTAAGATATATATACAATAACTACTTATTTAGAGTTAAAATTGAATTGTTGCTTTGAAATTGCTTCACACTACAAGACATGGAAACATATCACATCAAATCAAAAAGATAAAAAGTAATACTACTATTTTAAAATATTCTTAGATCTCTTACTACAGTTTCTGTGATAAAACTAAATTTAAACTTCTTGTAAAACAAAAACTAGGTAGTTTGCTATACCCGAAACGCATTTTATGTATAATTAAATGTACCAATTCAATCTAGAACAAGATCCAATCCATTTTGTTTTTTAAGAGTTTATGAATTTTTACGCTTTTCATTAGTCTCCAAATGAAATGGAAGGTACTTTCCATGACACAGTAGAGAAATGAGCTTCTCTTGAGGTTACTACTAGCTTTAAAGATATCAGTCACTACATAACAATGGCCTCGGCTCTGTACAACACTGCTTAGCAACAATTATAAACATAGCTGTGTTATCAAGCTTGTTATTCTCCTAGAATCAAAACATAGCATCATACCACACACTGAAGAAAACATTTCCATCCTAGCTGAAACTAAGACAGTCTGCTATAATACAAGCTTAAACTCACTACAGAAGGAGACAATAAGATACTAAGCTCCCTGGTGTAATTCAGTCTTTTTGGCAATATTTCTGAGTTTCTGAGAATATAAAAGGCAGATTTGTGTCTCTGAGAGGCAGTTCCCATTGTGCTGAGCCTTTTTTCTTTCCCACTAGAACCTGCAGAAACAGATCTCAGAAGGCTTCACTCTTGCTGTTTTCAGTATGAACCAGAATGGGATTTTTAAAGATGCATACACATGAATATGCATACATTGTACTCACAGAAGGAAGTTAGAATAACTTCTTTCAAAAAGTCTTTCCTCAGCTTATCCCAGACCAAGAGTTCTTATCTGAGGATGCCATTTTACTGAGTAAGAATGATGAGCCTATTGATCCTACAACTTTTTATGAAACAAAGTTGTATTTCGGATGGACTCCGTGACAGCACAGACTGAAAGGAAGTAACACCAAATGGTTGTGACAACTAACAGTTCAGCCTCCCCAGACTGCCTTCCTCAACAGTAAGCAGGATGATTTATTTGAAGGTATGGCACATATTTAATGAACTTGCAGCAAGTTTCAACAAGAGAAAATTCATGGAAGGACTGAAAGCATTGTCCAAGAAGCATTTCTTGATTTTTCTTTTCTCCTGATAATGTTTATATCATATAATGAAATTGATGTGAATCAAAACAGCAAAATAGTTGCAGCTTAGAATCAGCTTTCCCAGTGTACCTGAAAAGATATCTTTCCTACAAAATATACTTTGCCCCTTGTTTCCATCCAGGATAAAATGAAAGAGGACTGATGATGCAAAACTAAGTCTGCAGTGCTTACTACTTTCCATACGTGTCCCCTTGCTACAATTCCATATGCTTCTTGTACAGCATTAAGAGGTTCTAATATATAGGATCTGCTAATACACAGATGTAGTATTTGTGTACTATCTTCATCTGAACTACATTTAAAAATCTCAGAATGATTTTTTGAAAAGGAATGGAATTTTCTGTTTGTCAGAGCTGGTTAGATTCTGTCGAAGGTGCTATTAAGTAGTGGGTAATGAAAAATTAGTACATTCTAAGGAACCCTGTGTTTAATAGAAACATTCCTACATCTACAATGCCTTACTTTAATGAGCAGAAAAGACAGAGATCCTAAAAATGGAAATTCCATGCTGACAGAACCTCATAACTTGTTCTTAGTACATGACAGCAAATGGTTATCTACAGCTTAGTTGGGATTTTCTAATACAGAGATTCTGAAGAATCTCTTACTAAAGCCATATTAGTTGATACAATAATGTCTAAACTGTAGATTACTTGTGAAAAACTTGCAGAACTGACAGAAGTATGAAATGTGGGATGTGCTGATTGAACTTTAAAGATATAAATAAATATCCCTTCAAGAATATGGTAATAATGAAGACACACTCAACTAAGAATGCATTTTCTTTTTTTCCAGAGGAAGTAGAGTTGTGCCAGAGTGATTTCAGAGTAGACAATAGGAGAAATTTGTCTACAGAAAGATGATCAAACACTGGAACAGACAGTGAGATGGTGATGACTCGTTGTCTGTCAGTGTTCAACAAGCATTTGTATGACGGCCTCAATAACATGCTTTAACTTTTGGTTAGCCCTGAAGTGGTTTGGCAGTGTTACTAGATGATGTTTAAAAGTCCCTTCCAAGTGAACTGTTCTAATTCTGTCATATAGGATTTTGTACTATGAGACTAATATGGCTGCCTTCTGCAAAAGGTTCTCATTCCTAATATTGCAGAATGCTTCAGTTGTTGGTGAAACTTTCTTGCCACTGACGAAAATCTTCCTTCATGTGGAGGAAAAAAAGGCCTTGTAAATGCCTTCTTGGACATTTTACTAACAGAATGAGGTCTTTTTTCAAGACTTCAGGAAATTTTACCAGGAACTGTTAAAAAAAAAAAAAAAAGGGTATTTCTCATAAAAATTATGCACTTGGAGAGCATTTTCACATTCAAGGGGCATTCTAGAGAGAGGGTGAATTTAGCCCGTGTAAAGGAAGCAGAATCTGACAATATCTGAAGGACTGCAACAGTATGACACAAAGTGGTTTCAAGCTCTGACCTTCAGGCTAATGTAACATTCTGTCAGGACAACAGTTGTCAGAAACAAGGATGAGAGGGTAATACCTTCTTTTGAATATCCCTGAGGTTTGTTTTACGTTCACTGATAAAAACATTTTCTGCTTTGTTTTCACAAAATTTGTTTCTTTCCCAGTTCTCCACCAATTGTGAACAATTTTCTCCAAACAGGTTATGTTTTACAACTTTCCTGGTTGGTTCCTCATGTCTACTTTCCTCTTGTCCCTCCACCCTTTCCATTCATATGGGGAAAGGGCGAAAATCTGAAGTCACTAAAATCACTGCAGTAGTCTGACAGGCTCAAGGAACAAGGATAGTGTTTGCCCCAGACTTCAGAGAAGTATCCTATCACTTTTTTTTTGCTTTTGTTGATACTGTTTTTGTCATTTCCCTGGAACTGCTGAATATAGACAGCTTAAAGGATGATCTTTCAAATATATCATGGTTTTCACTTCTTGAGCTTGTATTCATCTTAAGACTTAACAGAAAACAATATGAAGCAAAACTACTGAAAAAGTGAAACGATTGGAGTGATCCAGCAAACAGAAATAGTTATGTATGTAGCAAAAAATCCTTCAAAGTTCTATTTCAGCTCAAGCTTTTCTGATGTAATTCCACCAAAATTCTGAATGAGCAAAAGCCTGCTATTTTCTGTCTATAATTCAGAGTATGCCTATGTATCTATCCAGAACAGACACAAAAATCCCTCCGCTGATGCTCCAGCCTCCTCAGATGAGAAAATCACAGCAGTTTATGTTACGGTTCTACATCTAACAGAACTAATAATTAATAAGACAATATAAGAAAGCTTTGCTGTGCCTCAGAATACTGAAATATTTGTGCATATAAAGCTAATAAATAAATCCAAGAATAGTAAAGTCAAATACCATCCCATCTAAAATTTTGCTGCACGTTTGGTGCTAAGTAGAACTTTTAATTTTTTATTAATCCCTGGAATAGCAGTGATTATGCATTTGTGTCAACATAGATACTTTCTAGCACTAACCAGCAGAAAAGATGTCCCTTTCCACAATCTACAGCAGGAGCTTTTAGCATAGGGAAGCTAAGCGTATCTGATCCTGTTGAATTCGATCCTTGTCTTGTTAGCCTTACTGCTCTTTCACAGCCTGGGATAGGACACCATTTAATAGCAGGATTATTTTCAACAAAGGCCTAAAGAAAAAAAGAAAGAAAGAAAGAAAATATTTTAACACAGAAGATCATATTTAATCATTGATATAAAACAATCCGTCATTGTAATCTTTCTTTGAGGGAACAAAGCCAAAAAGCATAATGACAACTGTAGCAATTTCGATAGGCTTTTAAAAATAGTTATTAAAAGGTTATAACTATTAAATAGTTATTAAATTTAATCTCCATTAAAACAAAACAAAACAAAACAAAACAAAAAACAGCATTAAAAGCATTCAAACAGTACTCCAGACTTAGGCTAAGATCCAAATGATTTATATCCCACACAAAAAATTAATGTGTGCAATTCAACTCCTTTGTGATATGGCTTACTCTGTATTTCCACTATATATGCACTAGCAATGCTCATTAACAGAACTGACTCTTGCTGAAAACAATTAAAATCTTACTGATTAACACAAAATCCACAATATAATCATCTGCAATAAACCTGAAATCAGAACTAGACTATCTCAGGACATTACCTATAAACTTTTTTAATTAACGTAGCAGGACTTCTTTCATAAAACTTTTATTAAAAAATTGAGGTGGAAAACTTCAAAGAACTTTCACTACTTCTCTTCAAAACGGTGCCATTAACCACTCACTTTGAAGATGAAGATGTGAAAGGCTAATCAGACCTAGATACTTCATTTTTACCACATCGTGTAAGACTTCATTAAAGAGACTTGTTATACACAAAAATATTGCATTGTAAAAGGAAAAAAAACCCTTCTTGCTTTCTCTTACTCTGCCACCACTGATAACATAACGTAACACATTATCTAGTGCATTACTACACGTAGTACAAAAGAAAAAACGTAAATTATAAGATTGTTAATGGAAATAAACAAATAAAAAGTCAAACGGGAGAATCAAAACAAGGTTTCCCTTTATACATACATACACACATGAACATACATACACATATAAATATATATCAATTGTATGAAGCATTGAATGGAAAAAAAATTAAGTAATTCACTTGCATTAATATTTTTAGATGGAAATAGGCACTACTTACAAATGGAATTAGACTCTCAGTAATAAAAAAAAACATTTAAAAACTGTTAACAATTTTAGACCTCCAACACAAACAAATCTAGCAGATTAAAAGATTCAAATAATCTTTTACAAACATTAGATTGATCAAATAATGTTACTAATACTGCATTAGTTAATACATTTTGAAAACACCATATCTGTGTTTCGGGAATAGTACAACATCCTTTCTTGTTTTTCTCAGTGGTAACCAAACATCCACATTGTGGCAAACAAGACAGCCAGTAATTCTTTGTACATAAAGTCCTACAGGGAAGGTTACAGATAGCAGCATTTCACATGGAAGCTGTATAGTACTTTTAATAAAAAGAAATACATCTCAAGAGTACAAGAACAGTTTGACAATTTACCTTAATGTCAAATTGAAGATATCTTTTGTCCATCTCCTTGGAAACCACACTTTCTATGATGTCTACAGGCACAAGCTGGAAACAATCATATGCTGGGCAAAAAATGTTGTGAGCTTCACCTTCTTGAATTTTCAGATTCAAAAATCTGCCAGAATTATGTCAGTAAGTATTTGTGAATAAAAAAAGTAAAAATCAAAATGCTCCTTAATACTTTATACCATGCTCATATATATTCAAATTAATCAATTTCTAAACAATGAATAGGAAGTATCCCTGTCACCTCAAAGGACAACAGATGAATAGCATAATTAAGAAAAGAGAGAACACTATTGTGGTTCAGAAGTAAGTGCCGTTGTGAGAATCCTTCTTTGTTTTTTGGCTCAAAGCTTGCTTCCTGAGGTAGTTTGTTGAGGAGGCAAGTGATGGGTGTTGTGTGGCAATCAACATTGCTGTGTGGACAATTTTACATCTTTGGAGCTGTTTGCCTTCGGAAGATAGTGCTCAGGACTGTTTACTGGTGGAAGAACTAGCCTGTGACCAAGTAACTCCTGTTTGCTATGGGAGGCTGGGGGATGATACCATTGTATCCTGTGAAGGCAAGATGCAAGTTGGTGCCTCCCTGCTTCCTCTTATCTGCTGGCAAGGCCAGGAAGATAAGAACAAAGGAGTTTCCTGCTGAGGCCCCAGAGCCAGAAGCTGCCACTCAAAGGAGAGCTGACTCAACCACTTTGGATTTGAGCTGTCACTCCAAAGACAGCTGACTCAACCACTCTGAAACTATTGAAAAGGGGCCATCATCACCATGGTCGTCTCTCTCGTTGTGCTTCATCGTCGTTGTCAACAGAACAACTCTGCCTGACGACCCACCGCTACTGAAGATCAAAGTCTGAACTACGGACCACGCTGGATCCATGGTGGTGACTATCTCCCTCTTGCTGCCTATAAAGACTCCTTGCTTCTTCTTTTCTATCTTTTCTATCGCCCTCCTTCCCTTCCCCCATTACCCTAATTCATAATAGCGTCCGTCCTCCCCTTCCCCATTTCCCTGATTAAGATTTGTAATAAACTGGTCGGACCAACATTTGAACCGTTGCTTCTTAATCTCACGCCGGGTATATAGATAATAAAAGAACCTCCTCTCCCTCCTATAAATTGGAGCGAGACAGCCATCATCTACGCATAGCCCTGTGTGTTTGTAGTTTCTATCCTTGCCATTTCTCAGAGGCTCCTATGAAATGTTTAATTAAACTCAGCATTACTTCTAAGTTAAATAAGAAATGGAATGTGTAGCTTAATTAATCTAGGAATGATATGCAATTAACGTTTCATCTGTGCTAGTCAAAGCAGTTCTGCTCTCAGAAACAAATTTCTAAATGGAGACCTCTGCAGTCCCCAACTCCTAGAAATGCAGGACACAAGAAGCTCAGAAACCTGCTGAAAACTGAACTATAACGCACAGCACTGTTTAGTTTAATTAATACTCGAGAATACTCATCTCAGGTATTATACAATACTCAGGTATTTGTAAGTTAGTCATCTGGAGTCCTTACATAGTTAAGACAGAAAGACTTGTGTGTCTTAAAATTTATCTTAAAATGGGATAACTCAGTTCTGCCTACTCCCCATGTAACAGAAATGTCTGGCTCAGAAAGATGAACCACTCTCCACAATGCCATCACAAACACCTGGCTGACACTGCACTATAATTTTGAGTGTAGGCCAGTACTCAAGTTAGAAGCACTATATCTCGCCAGGGATCTCTTCATAACTTCTAAATTACTGCATAACTACATACAAAACAAGTGGAGCAAGACAATTAATTCTCTGAATATTGAAAAAACTTGCCTTCTAAAACATCGTGAAGAGAAACTGCTCCTCTGTACCACAGGAGAATGGGTTCATATAAATTGGGCTAATCTGCAGTAGGGCACGTGCTGACATGTCTGTGTAACAAGACCCTGTAGTGGTACAGCCTAGCACAACCTCTTGAGTGAGGAAATGAATAAAAAGGCACTGCATGCAGCTATCATTATTCCTAAGTTGTTTCTTTTTACTAGCACAATAGTTTGGATTTAAATTGCGTAGTAATGAGAGCATTACACCAACTGAGCAATTAAGATAAAGTTAGTCCAACTATTAACTCTCAATGAAAGAAAGTATTTTAATAACTTTTCTGACTGGAAACGGATTTACGATGCCTCAAATCAGTGTGCTGAACTAAGAAATGGAATTAAGCACATGCTTAACATAGTAGATATGTAGCCCATTGCCACCACCACACACACAGTGAGCAAATCAAGAGCAGTCCAAGTCATTCACGTGAAGGCCTAAAACAGCTGGTGGTCATTTTGAATGACAAATAAAATATTCAATAGCATCAAAACAGCAGCTCCTTGAAGCCCAGGCAGTTTAATGTCTCCATCTTTACCTGCTCAAAACAGGAAAGATGAGTTTCCCAAAATACGTAGAAGTGTATATACTTACGCCTCCCAGCATGCTCTGCAGAAGTCATGCCCACAAGGCATATCCACTGGGTCTTCAAACACAGATATATTACACATACAAATGTCACACTGCAGATGAAAAAATACTTCAGATTAAGAAATACTCTAAAGCTTTTCACATTATTCACAGGACATACTGGGCTGGAAAACCTCACCAAAACTTTAAAGCACTCAATAGGGAGAAAAATCTAACTGCAGCCAGAAAGAAGAAAAAACAATTTAAGTTATAGAAATAGCTTAGAAGTAGAAATGAGAAAGATTCCATATCTCTTTTTCTGTGCTTCCCCATCCAAACACCGCATTTTGGGGTGCCTTATGTCATGTCTTCCAGCTCAGCATGTGCTTCATTGTGCAGATTGCTAAGATCTCAGTTCTTGAGGAAAATGGGCCTTGAAGTTTTCATGAGATTCATAGGCAGCCGTTAATGGAGTCTGGAAATCCTAAGTGCTTCTTGTAGCCTCTGCCATCTCAGACAGTTGGTTCCAAATTACAAAGGAACAATTTAGTTGTGCAAGAGCACCAGCAAATACTTTTAAATATTAAAACCAGATTAATATGGAAAGTATTACACTAAGGCTTACAATCAAAATAAATAGATGCAATGAGAAACATTCCAACGGTACACATCTCTGCTTAATTTTATACCACTAAGTACTGTAGAAAAAATAATATACGGAATATTGAGGCCCTTACTCTGAAAATATTTTAAAAATAGAGGTGACATTACTTATTGCTTATGGTTAGACATGAAGATTTCATGTTCTTGAAAGACTATAAGCAGATTTTCTTTCCACTGGAACAAAGATTCAATTAAAATTTACTTCAACTTTCAAAACATTAGATACTACAATACAGGAAAGCATTTCAAGAAAATTAACCTGTAGTTACTCTTAAAATATAGTTGTCTTAAAGACAAAACCAAACCAAGCCAAATAAGGCTGCCCTCAAAGTACAAGACTTGATGAAGGAATGTATTATTGTTCCAGTCACATCATCTTACTGTCTTGACAAAATTCAGTATTTTAGAAGTTGACTGTACATCAAAACTGTTGTCTACTAATTTTTATGTCTTTCAATTATGTTTAAAACATATCTTTAAAATAGGGAAATTAATGAAGATGAGTTCAGAATGTCAAGTGTAGAACATGTACTGGAACAGTTTTAATAGGATGTAAATGCAAAAGCTGAAAGGAGCATTATAATGTGTGTTTTCATTTTACCTACTTTTATTTTTCATTTGTCTGCCAGTATGTGCGACTTTAGAGAAATAAGTATCATTTCATAAACAACATTTTCAAAATACTATTTTGAAAGCTTCTTGCAAGATTTTTAACAATTGGAATTACTGAATGTATAAATTTGGATTTGGATTTAGATATATAAGACCTAGAACTGCAGTCACTATCCAGTCTGCACTGCTGGACCATAAACGACAATAAAAACAACACAACGTATGACTGAACACATGCAGTCTTTAGTTACACATTTTAATTAGGGAAATGTTCCTGCACAACATTTCACTGCTAATATAAGTAAGTGTAGGATAACATTACTCCATACAGTTCCTTTGTCAACATTTTACAATTAAAGAAATAAAATGTTTACATGCAGGAACACAATTTTTTATTTTATTATGAGATCCAGGGATGGTCCATTTGCAAGGCTTCATATAATATTCTAGAAAAAAATGCTTAGATCATGGAACAAAGGTTTTATAATGTTGCAGCTGTGGATTATTAAAAAGAGAACTCTGTCTTTCAAAAGAACCACACTGATTTTAGTGAAAGGCACTTTCATATTTCAAATTTGCAATAGCCTTCTAAACTGCTTGATGCAGCCCACACATAGTAAAAGTAATTATAAGCTTACAGTACACTTGTGGGGGCTGACATTTCAAAATGCAGACAAAGAGAATTTTGTTTTCCAAAGAAAAAAATTTCAGAAGGCAGGGTTTGCAGCATTGGGTATATTCAGGAAAATGGATACAGTGAAAGCGAATATCTTGAGAAGTATGAGATGTGAAGCTTGAAAGAGCTAAATGTAGTGACGTGACTGTATCTGGATAAAATCCTACTTTGTCAAGCTAGGTGAAAAAAGTGTCCTTACATTAGCCACGTGCTCAATTGTGCTATTATACAGAATGTTTAAAGTGCAAATTTCTTTGTTTACACTTTTGGAAAGAAAAAGGCTTTGCATCTGTGCAAACTTATTTTCCAAACGAAAGAACAATGTGGCTTGCCTGTCCATGTAGGTGTTTATGTTTAGATCCAGGCTCTTCTATCCTGATAGTTTCAGATCTATTTATACACCTACCACAGCTGTCTCGATGTCTCCTGGTGACGGGCTGATTTCATCAGGGGAAGTTACAGAGGAGCGAGTAGTGCGGGGAGTTCGTGGAGAAGGCAGTGTATCCCACGCGTTGTACCCACTTGGAGGGGGAGTGGGCATCTGAACCCCCGAGCGCTGGCAGCAGTTCTCTGGATTAGACATCCATGCCTCGAGCAACTTCTCCCTGTCCCAGTCTTCAATAAATATACAGACACAGGAAATTATGCAGCTGATGATGCTTGAAATCTATTCTGTAACTGCATCCATAAAAGAATATGTATGTGCTACACTAAAAAAATTAGAAACAAGTAAATACAATTAAGTAAATGTAGATGCGAATTTTCCCACTTAGTTACAAAAAAGGAACTAGTGAAAGAAACACTACATTAAAACTAATACAGATCTTTCATAATTATTGTTTGAAATATTTTTAGTTTCTTGTTCCTAAGATTTATACCAAGTTATCTTATAAACAGTATTTTTTTCCTATGAAAAATAATTAAAAGTTCTCATTTTGATATAAATATATAAAATGTCTAAATTGATTTGAATTTTAAGCCACATACAATACTCACAGATCTGATGAAATAGAATTTCAAGAGGAAACAGATTTTCCATTTTTTCCTATCACTTAAATAAATCTTTTAAAGTTGGTTTTGTTTGTTCATTTTTTTTTAATCTTAGATACTCATATAGGAAACTAGTTTTTATTAACCAAAGGATCTACGTTGCTTTTATTGAATTCTGTAATATACACAGGAGAAAATAAATAGTATTTCTATGCTGTTAAAATTGAAATAAAATACATGTACTCTTAGCACTGACCTTAGTAAAAATATCACCACTGTGAAATAATGATTGCTCCCTCCTTCCTAATAAGAAAATACCCTTGATCTGGATAGGATATACTGATTAGATGCTAACTTATGTAAGCTAAACCACACCCTGAGTTAATTTCATTTAATTTGTTTGAAGCCATGGTGCCTCAACATATACAAACTTGAGCCATTACAAATGTTAGCAATTTGCGTGTTATCTTGGCTATAAAGACTTTGAGAGGGAAGCACACTGATGCTAATATATAGATGAAACTTGCCACAAGTTTTCTTGAGTTCCTTTATAGTGCATCGTTAAAATTAGCCAGGGTTAAGACATGCTACTAAATGGTTCCCTTGTTCTCTTTACTAAATTATGAGTGTAAGTAAAATATTATATTTGTATATAAATATATACTTAATAAAATATTAAGTAAAATAGTTATATTTGCTGAATTGCCTCTCTTTTATCCTGAAATCAATTACTTTAGTATGAAATAGAAGAGAAACAGGAACAATGTTGAAAAAACACATATGGAAAAATTGAGAAGTTCTTAAACCTTCCAAAATACACACTTAATTCCTAAATTGATACAGTTGTATGACAAAGGACAGCAAGTTAGATGGATTAAATATTACATCTTTAATCTACTAAAAGTAGTACATAAGAATAATCTTCCCAAAAATTTAAAAAATGCTTTTCACACCTTAGGTGTGAATTAAGACATCATGTTATTCCTCTATGAAGTTCAAGATAAAATGCAAAAACATTGCAGTTTGGTATTTGGTGCTTCCCAATTGTCTCATGCCTTGTAAATAGCACAATTATTCCTTTTACTAGGCTGAACCACTTCTCCATTTTCAAAAAAAAGAAATTTTGTTTGAATAATTTCCAGCATATGACCACAGCTACAGGCAAAATAGCTGACATTCTCATGACTTGCAGAAGTCTGTGTGTTTTTCACCACACCGGTCAATTGCATTAAATTACAGCTACCTCATGGAGGCAACATCAGTGGAATGACCTTTGCAATGTAAAGTGATTTCTTCTCAACTTTCAATTTCTGCTCACCAGATGCTGGCAGACATTTCTGAACACTTCACATCAACCTCACTGCTTCTGGACTCACTATGAACTGTGCTGCCAATTCGAACAGTTGTGTCATCGTTCTCTTCTGAGTGCGCAGGGCACAAAACGTGCCTGCTTGCTTAGTTCAGCATTTAGTAATATTTAGCACTAATGACATTTTCTGAGAACCCAAAGTAACATCCAAATATTGTATATATAAATACCCAGAAGAATTAACACTAAAAAACGCATTTGCAAAGATTGCCTTAAAAAATGATCACACTGGCAATGAAAATCACTGGCACAAGTTCACGTTGGCTTTAATGCTACGGTAAAAGGAATGTAAACTATCAAAAATAATTTAACAGAGATAAGTGTAAGGTACCATGCCTACTCATAAAAGTCAGCCATATTTTGTGGGTTTGCAAGAGTATTTTCTTATTTCATTTTTTCCACTCTTCTATTTTTACAGAGAACACTCAAAAATAACAGGGCTCAAAAACTTAATCCAGCAATACAGCGATAAGCATGGAAACCATTAACTGCCTGAGTAGTCTCTTTGGCACATAGTAACAATGTGGATGCTTCAGTAAGCATAAGTTTTGAATGGCTGAATCAAAGCCTGAAGCTTCCACTGAGCTTCAGAGAAATGCTTTTGTCTGGAGTCAGCTCCCTGAATTCTGACAACCCCCGCTTCAGTCACACAAGACCACAGACTGATTCCATTGACATTAAAGCAGTTACAATATACAAGAGGAAACTATGCCCTGCACTTAAAGAGTAGCTATTCAAATCCTAAAAAGGACATACACTCCAATGCATTAAAACTCAAGGCCATTTCCAAATACTGTAACAGTCACACTTCTTTTACTGTGATAAAAAACAAAGAAAAATACTTTGTCATCCAGTTTTATACACAAGTACGTAATGATAGACAACCAATGGTCTAATAAAAATAAGAAAAATGAATTTTTTGAACTTTTTTTTTTAATACATAAAGCCTTGTAAGTTCTATGTCTCTCACTAAAGTAGAAGAGCTGTATTTCTTCACACTGCTGAAGTTAAAACATTTTCCCCTGTATTCCCAGTTTGAATCACTTCCCTATCAACTTTCCTGTCTGCCTCAATGCTGCAGATGTACTTCTTTCTGAGACACTGTGTGGATGACATCCTGTTATTCGATTAACTATTACTTCTCTTTTTCTTGGGAATAAAAAGTGAACACACTCACAACTGTAATTTTGATTTTGCTGAAAGCAGTTTTTTCTCAATCTTAAAGGTTCTGTATTACCATGTGCCCGGAGAAGAGCTTCTGCAGTAAAGAGTGGTGCTTGAAGCATGTCAGCAGTTTCCACTATCAGCATATCCTTAAGCCTCCGCAGATCCTGAAGTCTAAGCCCCTCGTATGGCTTTGAGAAGAAGGAGAAAGATAATTTACATCTAGCAGTGTTTCCTCTAATTCTACATTAAAATGAAAACATTCAAAACACTATTACTGATAATTATCTCAACTGTGCCCCAAGTTATGACAAAATTTATTTATTGTGCAAACCAAAGACCACACAAAGCTATATAGAAACGCTTCATTTTGCAGTACTGTAGGATGACTTTTGTATAGTACAAAATCCAAAAGACAGTATTTCCAGAGTACTCCATTGTAACTGGCGGTCACATTCAAATGATGAACTAGTCTAATATTAACTCTCTCATTCTCCTTTTCCCTTCCCATTCCCCTTTCAAAAAAGCTGGATTTCCATCGAATACTATTGAATTTGGAAGTAATTAAAATTCAAATATTGAGACATGCACAAGAATGCATGACTAGATTTGAAATAAGGACTTCAAGGAAGACAGGTTATCAGGATGGTATATGTTGCACACAGATTCTCTGACTTTATGCACAAACTGAGTGAGATGCATTAACTTTGCATTCATCAGGAGGAGGATATATTGAGACACTGGAGAGTAAGAAGTGGTGAGTTTATGAACATATCAGGTACAGGTCTTTGGAGACAATATCCACTTTCACAGGAGTAGAGAGATCAGTATAAGATCGACCAGAAATGCAGTTGGAGGCTGAGGACCAAGATGTCAAAATTCTCCTTGATAAACAGAGGTCACACTCCAATAGCACTACACTGTCAGAAGTAACTGCTTCCTGGTCTGAATTTGCATCCCCTTATTACAGCATTAACAAAAAGTCAAAATCAAAGGACAAAAAGAAGTAACTTTAGTATACTGAACTAGTTCCAGCCAAGCATACACATATTTTGCAGAAACATTTTTAAAAATAACAAAGCAGAACACGACAGTAAGTAATATACTTATTAGTTCTGGTCTGGGAAAATGCTCAGAAGGCAGAAAAACATTAGTGGGAGGACACATAAAGAGAATGGATACAGAAGGGCTTTGTAAAAAACTTATTCTTAGATGCACTAGTTTAATTTACATAAATAAAAGTAAACAGAAAAAAAGCAGGTAACACTGATTTGTGCTCAGGACTAATTAGGAATTGGGGTACCAAACAGCAGCTGTCTTTACCAATTTAGGAACCAATAACATTGTTATTATTTACTGTGCATATACTGATTCTATACAGATCATATTCCAGGACCAGTCAGTGCCAGGTAATATGCAAATGCATGTGCAAACGCACAAAACAGAAGACTGATTCTGCCCTTGGAAGTTGGCAATCCAAGTAAAAGCATACTGTACAGAAGCAGTAAGCACAAGGGATGAGAAGAAATGTAAAGCCTCGACTTCTAAATGTTTTTCTTCTTCAGAGACATCTACTCTAAAAACATAACATGCTTCCTATATATCATGACAAACTTTGTAAAACGCATCTAAAAGCATAACTGACTTCCTCAGTGACTTCTCTTTGCTAGTCAGTAGTATTAACAGGAACTTCTTAATACTGGTGACACAAGAATAACGCTGTCACAAACTTGCAGTGGGTCATTGTTCTTTTAGAGAAAGCAAGAACGTAACAGAAATGGACTGTGAGTGTCATGGTCTTTATCTTGACTGCCCAAGACCAGGAAGTCTCTGTATGTACTACCACTGCCAATTATGCGCGATACATTACAGGGCAATCTCAACATTAAATGCTTGAACAGAAACAAATCTGGGCCACTTGATTCATAGCATGCTGGAATTTGACTGACCTACTTAATTTCTTACAAAAGAGATCATTTATAAAAACACGTCAGAGAGACAAGGATACAAACAGCTGGATGCCGGAATGACTATACTTGCATGAATATGTTGCAGAAAAATTGGAGCAATGAGTAAATCATCTTGACAGAATCTGAACTGCATTTTGAATTATAACTGTAAAATAAGTAGCTTTGTCAGCAAAACAGTCCTCACTTCTTCAAGAACACATACATCACAAAAAGAAATATCTTTTGTGTTAAATCTGAAACATAAATGCATGTTTTAGGACCTAGTATTTTCTCCTGAACTGCAGCTACATTAGTAGGAGTAGTGGGAGTACATTAGTTCAAAGTTATATTGAACTGATTGGTTCTAGGTCAAACCCTGGCAATTCTCTCTCTTGAGGTACAGACTATTACACTATTTCAGCTGGAGCACTCCATACAGCCCAGCAGGAATTTTTGGATCCTGCAGTTTTTAAGTATCATAATTTTGTCTTTTTAAGTGAGAGAAACATTTCTAAAGAATGTATTTGAAACTTTAGACTTTTTTTTTTTTTTTTTTTAAATAAAACAGTATATGAGCCCACAGAAGTCATCTAAAGAAAGGAAATTTTAGGCTGACACTTCAGTAGCTTAATTTGGAAATTTCAGAGCAAAGACTTCATACAATTAAAACTCATAAAAATGTTCAAGTCTATAACACAAAGTCTTGCAGATATGTGTAAAGACACAATCTTTAGTTATAAAGATGAATATTCTTTATGTAAAACAAAAAATGCTTTTTTAGCTATTTTAGAAATGTATGACTTATTTCTGCATTGCCGTGCACTGTAAATGATTTTGTTTCTAGCTTGTGACACTCAGAGACCTCTTTTAACATTAATTTGTGGAGGAGCTCTTTATTGATATTTGCTATGAAAAATGTATTGTTCAGCACTAGCCTTATTTAAATGTATAATGATTTTGGAACATTCTATTTGAGTTACTACTTAAACCTGCTGCTGATCTTCTCACCATGGATCTCAACACTTCTACATTGTCCATAAGCCTTTTTTTAAAAAGAAACAAACTATCTTCCTTTCAACATTTTTATCATTAATATTTAGGCATCATAAATTACATCATTATTTTCTTCTCCTAAAAGAATTTTTAATATGTGACCAAAAGATTATTTTAACAGATTTATTTTGAATATTATTTTTACAGCTTCAAAGTATTATTAAAATAGAAAAGGACAAAGCCACATTTTGATACAGTGACGACTGTATAATTAAATGGTGTCAAACATACTTCACGCAAATATCTGCCTTTCCATATGGGATTCTATGATTAATGCAGTTATGTATTTCAAGAATTAGTTATACTTCATTTAACTCATTCAAGTATATGTACTGTATGGGTATGTATGTGTATATGTCTCATTACCTACAGTTACATTCTCTCACTTAATAAATGATTCTGTGTCTACAGAGATGAAATACATTTTAATTGTTCTAATATAAATTTTAGTATTTATCCTACTTGCACTACATATGTATTCATATGACATTAATTTTGGAAATGAAGAAAATCATTCCAGTTACTGTACACTCGATATATCTACTAGCAGAGCATTGCTGCAGCATTCAGTGACATGAAAGTAAAATGAACAAAGAAATTATATACTTTGCTATTACACAATGTATTTTTCTGAGACTGACAGAGAGCCAAGTTCTGAATGATCTGCTCTGAACGTCTGCGCATTACCAGCTGTTTCTTATACAAGTTTTAAACATTGCATTACACGACTGAAGCAAAGTTATCTTCCAGACATATAACACAAAGATGATTATATATTAGAATAAATATTAGAGTACAGAAAGAGCTTGCAGATGAAATTGCCATGTTCTTAGGAATTTAGAGATATCTCAGACAACTGGAAGCTGGCAAATGTTGTTTTCAAGTTTTCAAGAAGGGCAAGAAAGAAGACCCTGTTAATTACAGGCCTGTCAGTCTCACTTTGGTGCCTGGTAAAATTACGGAGAAGATTGTTCTGAGAGTTATTGAAAAACACCTGAAAGACAACACAGTCATTGGTCAACACATTGGTTCATGGGGGGAAAGTCCTGTTCAATTAACATAATCTCCTTTTATGACAAGTACCCTTCTGGACAAAACGTCCAGTATACAGCTGGAGAAAAATACGTCATGTGTATGTTTGCAGATGATGCTAAACTGGGAGCAGATAAGGTCTCTTAGTTTGTTCAGCCCAGAGAAGAGGAGGCCTCATGGTGGCCTACAGATTCTCACACAGTGGAGGGGCAGCACTGAGCTCTGCTCTCGGGTGTCAGCAACAGGACCCGAGGGAACAGCATGGAGCTGTTTCAGGGGAGGGGTAGCTGGGGGTTAGGGAAAGGGTCTGCACCTCGACAGGCTCCGCAGGGCAGTGGTCCCGGCCCCAAACTGTCAGAGTTCAAGAAGCATTTGTACAACACACTCAGACGTAGGGTTTGGATTTTAGGTGGTCTTGTGCAGAGTCTGTAGTTGGACTTGGTGATCTTTGTGGGTCTTGTGTTAATATAATTATTTAGTGTAACTGCAATGAGAGTTTAAAAATAAACATAAACTTACATTTTCTATTACTAACTTCCACAGGTTTTTGGAAAATGTTTGTTAACAATATAGGAGAAAATAATCAAGACAGACATTTGAACTACACTTGTTCTGGTTTGTTCTGTAACAATCTTTCTTAATACATCATCACTGATGGATTTTTTTGCTACCACTACCAACAGCGATGAGAGTTGCACTTCATACTCGGTACTCAAAATACTTGGCATTTTCATTTTCCATAGGGAAATACAGATTATGTGTGTGTTGGTACATTGCTTTTTTTCTGTATTGTAATTTGAAGGAACACACACAGAATAAAATTTGTTTTTCTACATGATAAGAGCCTGCTTGTTACCCATCTTTAAAAGTCCTCTCCAATTTGTTCATTACAAATGTTTCAGGTGTGCTAAAAATGAAGTGAAACAGAAATGCTGCTAAAAATCTATGCTTTCGGTATCGTCATAGCAGAAAGTGATTTTAAAAGACTGGGTAACTGTATGACAGAAATGAGTTTTATTCAGAAACACCAGTGTAAGGAATTAACTGAACAGCTGTAAGACGGACAGCTCTTTTCTGTCAGGCTCTGAAGCTTTAAAGGTGGGTCTGCTCTTCAATTTGTATTCCTCATGGGCTTAAGAGTCTATGTAATCATGAAGAAAGGTATGTGGGAGTTACTTTTTCAACTACTGCAAGTGTTTCAGTTGTAAGCATGAACACACATAATTCCTTGGTATATTTCAATATGAAGAACACAATCTGGCTCTTAACATCAGAAACAAAGCTTTGTTACTACTCCGAATATACAGTTATTTCAGTGAAACTGCACAGGGCACTACAAAAATCTTTTGGTCTGTATGAAAAAGAATGATTATTTTCTGCTATAAACATGGCAGGTCTGGCAGGGAATGTGTTAAGTACTGACATTCCAGATACTACCATGCACATCACAAACACTGCAGTTAAGCTTGTTTGGCTGTTCGGCCTGGAAAGAAGTCTTCCTACTGTTTTAAAATGTTTTATTTATTCCTCTAAACTTAATTAATTTAAACTTAATTTAATTTAAACTTAATTTAATTTAAACTTAATTTAAACTTAATTAAAAAATAAGAGATGAATCACTTTGAAAATTTTTTGACATTCCAAAGTTTTGTTCTTCAAATAAATTAAATTTTCATTTTTCAGAAGTATGCTAAAGGACATCAACTATTATCTTAACACTATATTAGATAAGTATTTTGCATATTCACTTCTCTCAGTGAAATGGAGGGAAAGAAGCACAGAACCATCTTTAAGAGGCAATTCTGGGCACAAGATAAGTGTTCTGAAGGATTCAGACTATTTCTCGGGCCCTATCAATACAAAAACTTGAGGCACCACTTGAGAATAGTGGTAAGAACAGCTTTTACTGCCTATTCCAGGCATCTGTCCACAGACTTGAAGGACCTGGATGCACTGCCATTTCAATTGCAGTTCAACACCAGTCTTTCTAAGGCTGATCTTTTTCAATTATTTTCAGTCACTCTGACGGATAGGATTGAAAGATGAACTTCCCCTGGCTGCATATTCTTATCATGTCTCTGGTGCTAACACTCGTGCTGTCACAGATACACAAGAAGTCCGAGAACCTTTCCCACTGAGAAGTTGCCAGGAAAGGTAAAGAAGAGAGAAACTATGAAGGCTGATTTGCTCTGTGCAAAACTCTAAGACTATCAATCAATGTGCCAAATTCCATGGTGACAGTTTTTGGCTTGTGAATCTTAAGGAATCTTAAGGAAAGCTGCCCTGGTATGTCAGATGGACACAGGTCTGCAGGCCTGCCTTCAGATCTCATGCTTAGCAACTTTTCCAGAAAGAAGTCAAACAAGGAACTGAACTATATTATTTATTTCCCTCATTGAAACAAACTCAAGTTAACACAGTTATCTTTCTCTTGAGTCCTTTGTAAATAGCAAGTCTTCAAGTTGATTAAGCTGAGAACCTACTGTAAACAATCGTAAGACATTATTTTCTCTTGCTGAAATTGTTCAAGGAGTTTGTGATTTGCCCCATCTGTATCTGTAAGTTTACTTTCTTTTCGCAGTGTTGTCATGACATAAATATAGTAATAAGAATGATTCAGGTTAAATAAAACAGTTACAATTCACCACCCTACATGACATTTTCTTCATTTAAGCAAAATTACTGCTATGATCCATCCAACAGCACAACCATCCAAATAGTTCTATATGTACAACCAAAGGAGTAGTAAACTGCAATCAAGGCAAGAAACAGCAGCAGCCTTTTAAAGTGGTTTAACAATAGAGAAAATGTAATTTTGATCTATGTTCTTCAACACTTTGGATGCCTCTATAGGGGAATATTCAGAGAAACTGAGTTAATTACTCCTGTTATTTCAATAAACAAATTATATTAAACCTTGAAATCTGTCATCTAGGAGTGAACAACTTAAACAAGCTTGTTCATATTTGAATTTATTCAAGAAAATTAACTGAATAGTACAAAGATGTTCTAACTTTAAAACAGAAGTGACCACACCTGACATTTTTCAGGGAAACAGCTGATATTATATGAACCTATTCCTATTGAAACCTGAATGAACTTTCGTGTCACCAGGCCAAAGGGGACTGAGCTAGTAAAATGTAAGGAAATGCTACTTTTTGAAATCCATTGCCCTGAATCCTATTTTATCTACATATTCTTACTTAGATTTTTAGTTAATTATAATCATAGCCAGTAAGACATCATAATTCAAGCAAATTTGTGTCAATGAATTTCACATCTTTTCAAAAAACAGGCTTCAAAGTAACAATCCTTGTTACAATCTGTCTTTCATACAGGTTCTGATATGCAGCAGCTTTAAGCATCATGTTATAAAACAAGAAAGCAAAAGAACTGTTTTTAAATCCTGCACTACTCAGCAGGCTTTTGATAACATTCAACTCAGTCTCAGTCTAGGCAGATCAATGATAACCACAGAATCACAGAATTGTTGTTAATTGTAGATAATGTTTTTACTATTCTGTCTCACTGATATTCTTCTCTTCAGAATTTCTCCAGTTCTTACTTTTAGACAGGAAATGATCTGATGAAATAAAAATCTGTAAAAACTTTGTTTTGGAGACTGCTTCCCAGCTCGTTAGCCTCTCTGCACTTCCTCTACACTCACAGCTTGCAACACCTTCAGGGCAGTCCATGACAATTAGAGTAAAACCTCTTCAGATCTGACAACAGAATTGTTACTTTTTCTGCTTAACTTGGAAGATACAAAGAGCTGCGTTCAAATGAAATATCTTCCAAATATATGGTACAAAGTACAGGGCATGTTGAATGTTTAACAATGTTTTGTCATAATGCAACTGCTACAAATATAAATGTGTAAATTTAAAGTATTCTCTGACCTCTTTTTTGTCTAAAGCAGCATACTCAGCTTCAATGCTTTCAGCTTCAGGATCACGTGAAAATACCATTCGAGATTCCAGGTTAAGAGCTAGCTCTTTGTGGTGTTGTTTCTCTGCACAGTCACATGGGGTATCTTTATTTTCATTTTCTGCAAACAAGTCTCCACCGTGTTTTACCAGAAGCTGAAAAAAGAGTAAATAGTTATCAGTTACCAACTGTAACAACATCCTGAAGAAATGATACATCAAGAAGAGAATAAAAAAATAAGAACAAGGAAAACTGAAAGAAGGGATAAATATAGCAGCAATCACCTTTGGGAAGCAAGTACCATGTCATTAAATATATAATTAGCTTATCACTGAATAAATAATTAATCATCAAATTCACTTACCACTACTTAATAAATTAAATTATTGTAACTGTTATTAAATAAATTATTGCTTGATTTAATACATAACTATACTACTGTAATTTCTTGGAACCAAAAAATCACAGAAATATGTTACAAGCTAATATGTTTTTGCTAGGGTTTGATCACTGCAGTTCAGCTGTACTGATATGGTCAGTGCTCCACAAAAAATGAAGGGCTTGAGAACATCAAGCACCCGGCAAGATGAAGCTATAGCCACCTTTAAATATTCTTTATATATGGGTATAACTCCACTATTCTTCACATCAGTGATGGTGACAGAAGGTGGGAGAATCCCCAGAAGGGAGGGAAGATGGATTAATTCATAAACAGCATTCAGCACCACTGGTAGCTCTACCTTAATTTTGAGAACAGAACAGAAAGAAATGACATGATGCAACCAAAAGCTAAACCAACCAACTGCAAAACCAGCAATTATTGTTCTACTGACAAGTAAATAGCACACAAGCTGGGTTACACTAACCTTACTGAATGCTTGATATCAAATATGTCTCTGTATAGTGCCACTGTCTTTTGTCAGTAGCCAGCCAGAAATGGAGTCTCTAGCTAATAAACACTAATTGTGCTGCTCTCCTTATCTTGGCAAACTTGTCTCCTGCTATAAACTCATCTGATATAAGCAAGCAAAGCAAATGCCATACAAAAGTCAAGAGTACATAATTCTGCTGATTTGTTGTGATGCCTCTATAGCACAGACTGAACTCTAATGGTGGAGCACTCAGGACAATCACTCACTATAAAAATGATTCACTACATCTCTAAATAAAAACAAAACCTATAATATTATCTTGTTTTCAGACTGTCATAGCTATAATAATTCTATTCTGTACTTCAAATTTCAAAACTTAATTTTTTTTTACTTCTAAAAAAAATAAGATTTCCACATAAAGACCTGCTCTTCACAACATCTTTTTGATTGTGACCACTTCTTAATTTTCATCTTCAACACAGTGTTTTTCTTTAAGCTGTCATTATACAATACAAAGCAAATTTTACAGATCTGGAATAATTCATAGAATCATAGAATGGTTTGAGTTAGAAGGGATTAACCCTACTGTCATGGGCAGGAGGAACACCTAGGTTAGGCTGCTTCAAGTCCCATCAAAGCTGGCCTCGATCACTTCCAGGGATGGGGCATCCACAACTTACCTGGGCATCCCATGCAAGCGCCCCACTGCCCTCACTGTGAAGAATTTCTTCCTTACATCTAATCAACCCTACCCTTTATCAGTTTATCGATGTCCTTTATCAATATCAACCCCTTGCCTTGTCACTACACTCTCTGATAAAGAGTCTTTCCCTGGTCTCGTAGATTCCTTGAACACTTTTCCCATTTTCTCCAAAATTAAAAGATATGTAAAAAGCAGAAATTTGTGTCATCAAGGACGACACCATATTTTCTCCTCAAGCACAATATCAGGTAGAAATTAAGATAATACTAGGACAATTATCAAGATATCCAGCCTACACATACCTTGTTTTCTATCTGAACTTCTTGACAAAATCTTGCTAAAATTTTAGTAACTTGAATTTCACATTGTCTGTACATTTTAAACTTTAACAAAAATTTAACATCATCATAAAAGACACCTTCTGAAGAAGAAAATTAATAAATAAACTTGAAAGAAGACTCCATAGACTTATGCATCTCAAAATCGAACTTGCAAGATGATGGATGTGTAAAATGATGTTAAGAATGACACCCTATTTCTTTGGTGCCACTGTTAAAAAGGCTTACGTCTGTTAAGAAATTAAAAAGATACTAATAATCTAATCACATAAAGAATTTAAATAATAAAAATGCTATTTAATATACCAAATATGCTGTGATAGAGTAATATATCTGCATGAAATCAAATCTATTCAATATAAAAGTCAAGGCTTTTTTTCTGTTTAGTGTTTGGAGGAAAGCATGTTAACATGTCTTCAGCAATGTGCTCCACACAGTTGTTCTGCTCAGAGAAGAAATTAAACACATGTGAATGGAGAAGAATTAAAACTCCGAACAACCTCAGCTAGTAGGTGGTTCACCCACACAGGAATATGTTCTTTCTCTCATTTCCTTATTTGGGCACAGTGGGGATAGAAGTTACAAGAATTGAGTTTCCCTGAAAAGTTATGGAAAAAAGAGATAATTAATGAAGAATACTGCTCTGAAGCGGCAGTAAATACCCCAACATGGCATGCAGCAGTTAATACATGCAAAAGGCACCCTGAGAAGTCCAAACAACCTTCAATTTACTGAACAGAGTGAAAAAACTCGAGGGTTAAGTCTTTTTTTTTCTTTTTTTCCCCAGATTTTTACATCTCAGGAACAAAGAGATTATTGTTGAATTCTTTTACTAAGCTCTGTTTCCTGCTTTCCATGATGTAGTGTTGCTGTTCACGTTGAAGGACTACAGACAATACTGGAAGACTGAAGACTGACTCATATCAGATCATTTCATATGAGCTTTATTTTATTTTCACCAACTTTGTCTCAAAGAGGTTGTTAAGTGCTAAGCCACAACATTCCTCATTTTCTGACATGAAAATTGTTTATATTCTGAACAATAATGTTTAGAAATAAATAGATCTTGGGGAAGGCTACATGGAACAACTGTGAGTGAAACTGTATTTTGAATATCCCTGTAGTTTGAATTTATCAGGCAGCTGGATCACACAAGTGGTATTAAAAAACAGAATGAGAGAGAAGTACATGGTCCTTTGCAATCCATAACCTTCTGTTTGCCTAATCTAAAATAAATACAAGTTGACAATCAACTTAAGAGCAGTATTAACTTAGACTTGATACTCATTTATAAACTAATTGCATCAAAAGAGACACAAAATCAATCATATAACCTTGCAAATAAGGAAAGTTTCACTCTAGTGTACAGGAATAGCAAGGCAATATCTGTGTGCAATCCAGTTACTACGAACATAATTAGCTGGATCTGAGAATAATTTGTCTAGAAAAGACTGTGACCTGCTTCCCTGGTGAAACTCAGGACACGTTTAACTAATTTCTAGCGAAGTGCTGATAACAAACTGCTTGCATGAGGCTTGCAGTAACTACAAGGGACAGAGAAGAGAACGCCATAGATTTTGGCTGTGATACTGGAGGTTAAATATCAGAATCTATTAGCAGCATCCTCTAAACTCTTCCCATAGTAAAGAGTGAACTTTCAGACACCCATAGGCTTAATTTACAGCATAGAAAACATCACAGGGAAGCAGTTTCCATTCATTAGAAGCTCAGAAAACTACAAAGGATGATCTTCATAATCACAGAACAAAAAGAGTGTTGGCTATAGACATAAAAAGACACTAGCTGAGGTTTTAAAGAGAGGACTAATGAAAAGCCAGAAAATAAAGAACAGCATACAGTTCAAGCCAGTGCACAGCTAAAGCCGGGCAGCTGAAATGACAAATTTTAAATGAGAATGTTCTGATTATATCTGGAAACTTGGCAGAATACAACTAACACAACAAAGCAATACCACTGGATGTACCATGTAAGAATCACAGAGAAGTTCTCAGTGTTGGAAGGGTGGTGTCATATTCTATTTTTCTTGTTTAAAAAAATCTTGAACAAACAAACTGGCTGTGCCAACAAATATCAGAGAATCCCAGTAGAATGCAATTCTGGATTTAAATATAAAGAGCATGAATGATCACCTGACCAAACTGCAACAACAGAAGTAGCATGCTAACAAAGAACAGTAATACTGCAAGAGTAGAACAAACAAACACAATCTTCAGTCACTAAATCTCCCAAGCAGATCAAGAAAATGCTGTGCTAAAGAGACTTAAATTTTCAAACTCTGGAAGTGACTGAATCATAGACAAATTAGTTAGCCAGCATATGAGAGGAGAAGTAAAACTTCTTACTTTGCTCAAAGAAATGTGCAAGATCTGACTGAAAATGTAGTGGTCAAAGAAGCACTTAGTTCACAAAATGTACTTCAGACTCCATGTCCTTGAAATGATCCACTGTCTAATTCAGAAAGTGGTACTAAATAAAAGAGTGAAAAAAAATCTAGAGACATCAGAAGAATGTGTCAGGATAGAAGAGCAGGACGTATTTATGTGGGAACAGGAAACTGACTCTGTCCCCTGCTGCAGAAAATATGAAGAACAGTCTGGAAAAAAGTAAATCTAAAAACACGATGTATAAAGCTAATCGTGGTCTTGAACAATGTGCCAAATACATAACAACTCACAGTAAATCATTTCAAAACATCACCGAGTGCATCTGTCGATGTGTCTGTAAAGTCAGCTACCAAAAAACGAAGTGCAAGAGCAATCCCAGATAACATAAAACAGAAAAGTGATAGGAATTCAGCTTCTCAGTGGGTGTGCTACATAGATCCCCATGCTTTATGAAGGACACCAGCAAAAGTCCGTTTCAAATTGAAGTTTCAGCACAAGAAGTTCTAGAACAAATCAATAAACCAAATACTAATGAATCTTCAGCACCAGATGGTATTTATTCATGAGTCCTGATGGAATTTAAATATAAAATTTCTGAACTATTTATTACAATATGCAACCTATTGCTTACATCTTTGATAGTACAAGATTAGAAGATGGTAAGAGTAACATCAGTACTAAATATAGCTCCACAGAAAATTGAGAAAGTTGAGAACAGTACAACAAACATTACTGAGAGGTACCTGGAGAAATTGGAAATAATGAGGAAAATACAGCATTGATTGAAGGAAATTACATATGACTTATTTATGAGATGTCTCTGAAGCAGTCAAGAAAAGAAGTTTGCTGATAGTTTACGTACAGACTTCCAAAGAATTCAACAAGTACACTTAAGAAAAGTAGAAAACTATAGAAAGCTTCTTGACCAAAGTAATAACTTGTTAAAAGGCAAGAAAACAAGGAGAATTCTTGATGTTAGGATATATACTCTTATGAAAATGCTAGCTGTTTATGAAAATATTAAGTGTGTTACATTGTGCTCTTTAAATTAAATTACTAGCATAATTAAATACTAGCTCTCATTATTTGGTATAGTTTAAAAATAAACTTGGTGGGAGACTTTCAAAGTTTTTCTGATTTCCCATTACTCATTGCTACCCAGTACTTTCACAAACATTAAAGAAATTTTTAATATGCAAAAAGGTAATTATATTGATGTATGCTAGCAGTGATGTAAGGCATCCTATAAAAAAGCTGGGCACTGCGAATTAAAGACCTGTTCCTGAAACATGGACGGCATTAGAACTTTAATTTTCCCTTAGGTAGTTACTTCACTTCTCTTTATACGTACAGGTAATTCCTAGGCCTACTTTTAAAGCCTCTTCACCAGTGTTACAGACTTGTAATTATTTCCAACGTTTATAAGCCTATATCAGTTTATTTTGTGCTGAAGAGTTTATGTCATAAAGCCAATATAAAAGTAATCCATTTTTCTTTGTCTTCTACACAGTGTATGTGTATTCCGAGCTGCTTAGCTTTGACATTTTTTTTCAATTAATGAAAATACAAGTTAATTAAAAAGCTAATTCAACCAGATTGTTTTCCTTGAAACAGCCTTGTGAAACGCTGCATGTAATTTACTGACAGCAGTATAAGACTTGTGATCATATATCAACTTTTACCTCGACACAGGTTTTCATCCCTGAGGCAGCAGCATAATGCAAAGGTGTATTTTTTTTGTTATCAACGGCATCAATGGCTGCTCGTTCATACTGTCCTTCATCCAGCTTTGCTCCCTTCCATTTCAAGATCATTTGCAGGCAGTCTGCTCTTCTGCAATCATCTTCGGAGGGTCTTGTCAGGCGAGGATGAAGAGCTCCTTCTGAGATCATGATCTGCGGTCCCATACACAGTAAGTGCATAGACGTCTCATTGTGCACATTCCGTTTATTTGGGTTACCATCTCTAACAAAAAGGAAAGTTCTGCAAAGGAAGGGAAACAGAAGAGAGATAATTAGCACCCAATTCCTCTCATTTTCTTCAAGTGGGAAAGCTCTATTATGACAGCTTTCTTTTCCTTTTGCCAAGATTTTATAAGTTATGTGACAGACGCACATTCTTAATCGATAATTTCTATTAGATATGTTAACATGTAAAAAAAAAATCATTAATCTACACCCCATACAGTGCTCACAAATTGTTTTAATGACTCTTTTAATGCCTTCCAAAGACAACAAATTGTTTTTATTTTCATTCTGGGAAACCAAGAGTAAATCAGTCTGTTCAAGAACCTTGTTCAGCACACCAGTCCATGCGCCCTTATGAAAAGCTGGACGAGAATTTACATCCAGTCGAGCTCTTTTTGGAGTCAATAGCCAAGATCTGCATGAGTTACCGAAATATCAACAGTCCACTTGATTTCTTGGAGTGTGGCAAATTTTTGTAGGCCAAGTTTTTTCTAAAATTCTGCACTGTATTGCAAGAAGTGTTATTAAGGCACAAGACTGATTAAATAGATCATTTTTTTTTATCATGCAAATGCCCACCTATACAGGTGATAGGGGTTGGCAAGTCTTTTCTCAGAATGCTTTAGCTGCTGTTCACAGTGGACAATAAACTGTGGCAACAAAAAGGATCAGCTGAGAAATGAGAGGAAAAGAACAGATTGATTCCTGGAATTGCAAATCTGATTCCTGACAGCTCCTGAGGCAATATAGCTTTCTGCTGCTTCTTGCCAGCAACGAATTATAGAAATTACAATCCAGTTCTGAAATGGAAGAAATGAGACATAACATACAAGACCTACGAAGCCAAACTTGCCTTATTCTTTTGAGGTATATAATATTAATATAATAAATGTTAAAATAATAATATATTGAGATAATTTTTTTTTCCTCAAGGGAGGGAGAATGCTAGGAAATTGAAAGGAAGAAAGATTGTTTCCTTATAAATGGCCATGGGAACACTGCTAAGGAATGCTTCAGAACCAACTTTTCACAAAACCATTATGATCTTATGGAAAGTTTTGATAGAGAATGGTTCCCTTGCTGTTTTTCATGACCCCATTCCTACACAGTCCAGCATCCTTATAATCCTCCCAGGGTATCTGTCCCTGCATCTACTGCCTGTGCATTTTCTTCTTGCTCTCAAGTTTGACCAGCAGATCCTGGTTCATCCATGTTGGACTCTGGCATTATTTTCCTGACTTCTCACACCTGGGGATGGAGAGTTCTTGAGCACTAAGGAAAGCTTCCTTAAAGATCTGCCAGCTCTGCTCCACTCCCCTGTCCTTGAGGACAGTTTCCCAGGGGATTTAGCAGTCTAACTCCCTAAAGAGCTGGAAGTTAGCTTTCCGATAAATTTAGCATCTGATTTTACTTTTTGTCTGTCCCATGATGTAACAAACAATTTCCAAGCTTCTATATAAAAAAAAAGTTTGTGAAGGTAGCAGACTCCCCCAGATTCATGTGGAATGAGCTGAGATGAAATTGTGATAAAGACGGGCTCAGATCACTTCTGCAATTACTACAGCAGTCTATGGGAAAGTAACAGGATACCAAAAATGCCAGTTCTTATGCAGAAGCACTTGGTAAGAATTCCTGAGGACAAACACAAGGAAGAGCAGAGACAAAAGGCCTCACCTGGTACAGAGGCCTAGCAGCCTGCTAGGATTCAGCGCTGCAAGCAGGGTGTACTTTGCCTTTTACATCAAGTGAAAATTTATTTCAAAGTTTGAACTTAGTCTGCATAATGCGATAGATGGCTGCATTAATCAGACCCACAGTCTTCAAATGTCAGGAGTGTCTTTCAGGTGTTCATTAACCACATCTTTTCCTCCCACCTCAAGTTGCTTTATACCCAACATAATGACTCCTGCTACTTCTTTAACTCAAAGTAAAATGTCACTTTAAAATTCAGTGAAGACCTGGGCTTCAGCTTTTGTAATTGCCAGAAGGCCTTCATCATCACCTCCCAAATCACATGAAGTTTCTCTAGCTATCTAAACATCACTGTCTAGACTTGGTAACACTTCTGTTTTCTGTTTTTATTTAGCACTTTATCATCGCTTAAATTCCATGCTGTGGTATTTTAAAACATGTGATTCACTCCTGAATCAGGTTACAATGCATCTGATTATGGAACAGCACAATGTTTTTGTGGTGACCTGTAAAAGCTGTAAATCACATACACTTTTTCTTACAAAACATTCTTAAAACTTACTTAAACTTATTTAGAAAACTTACTCTATTTCTCCCGACAACTCTATGATGGTTCTATTTAATAATGCAAATATATGGAGATCTAATCCATATTAGAATACTTGCATGCTGTAACCTAATATTTTTACACTGCTTAGATTTGTATAGGTAGCCATTGTAGAAAATTCAAGTACTGCACATACAAATGCAGTGGAATTGGTTGCACTACACTTGTTCTCTGAAAACAGCCCTAGGCTGAAACTCTGCATAAATGCAGAACTTCAGGGCTGTCAAGCCAGTATACCTTTTCAAAACCAAAAATTCTCTCTAAAGAGTTAATTTAAAAGTCAGCTTTAGTAGTGAATAAGTATTGCTATAAATTTCTTTCACCATAAAATTAAGCTTCATGGAAAAGTATAATAAAACTCTGGTTTTAAGAAGTTATAAAATAAAATCACAGGGTTACTTAGGGAGGAAAAGACCCTTAAGATCATCAAGTCAAACCATCAACCTAAAATGTCCACTTGCAGGTTTCTATTTTAAACAAACAGTAAAAAGACATAGGATGGATTTAAATTTTCTAAACTGTCATTGTGCAGTTAGAGATAAATCCAAAGCACCTCTCTAGTAGACCATTCTCCTAATATCAATATCTGCCCTTATGTGAAAACTACATGGTAAAAGTGTCTAACCATCTCTACGAAATCTTCAGTGAGAAACATCTTCTGCACACATCTCTCAGTGTTCACTTAAAATATAAGCAAAATTTCTAATACAATTTTGTGGGTTTTGTAAACATCGTTGGTGTGGAAAAAAAAAAAAAACATTTTACATAGGAACAATTGCTTGTTCATCTTGTTTGTTGCTAACTTTCTGTGTCTTATAAATGGGTGTGACAAACACCAGTGCTAGCAAAGGCAACCATCACCTCACTGGAAACATAAAAAGCATCCCTATCTTTTCTTTATAATTTCCAGAAGTCAAAGGAACAACCAAAGCTGAAAATCCACAACTTTAAGTTCAGAGAAGATGACTAATATCTAAAGAAGGGTAAATCAATAGATTTTGTACCACATGATCATTATTTGACAGGGCTCCATTTTTACCAAGGTATTTGGTGTGTAACACTTCCAAAGCTCAGTGCCATAGGCCCATCTGATCTGGCTTGTAGCTCCAGAGGTATAAAAAGCTACGTTTTGCTTGGAAATGTACTGGTAGAGTGAAAAAAAAAACACTGCATACGGGAAATACCACGTAATCACAAGACAGTCACACTTTTCTTTAGTTTTACAGCTTCCAGATTTTGCATCAAGCTGTAGCTCTCTACAGAATCCAAACTTGAGGTGACAAACCCATGAAAAAAAAGTGTTGAAAAAGTGGCAAAAAAGAAACGTCTGTAACATTTACGCCTACTACTATCCATATTTGGACAAAAGCAGCAAGAGACTCAAGACAAATAGGCTGTGAATTTGAATAATAAACAACTGACACATTCCCTCACTCTGAGAAGCATCAACACAACTATTTCATCAGGTTTTAATAAAAAGTGGGGATGAAAACATTTATGGCCTGTTTCTCTACGCAGATGCTACAGAATATACTTATTTACAGCTATACACATTTGTACACGTATAGATACATGTACATTCATAAAACATGAAAACATATACATTACAAAAATAAAACCAAAATAAAAGCCATTGTAAAGTGAAAGTGCAAGGCACATAGTATACCATATAAATATAATGCAAGTTGCACTACTTTAAGCAAGATGTACAGCAAAAACGTAATCTAATCTGCACAGGCTTCTCCTTCAGAATATTTCTTCTGGTCCTTGAGTTAGCTAGCCCAGTGAAGTCCAGCTCACTATTAAAAGAGTTAACGTTGCATAAGTGAAAGCAAACAGCTTTTTGAGCAAGTATGGTTAAGCCATGAGTTACCAAAATACAGAAAAGAGCCAAACATTTTTACCCAATCATTTAAGATGCTCATGCAATGAATTAAGCCAAGTTACTGCATCATTCAACTCCCAAACACAGCAGGTCAACATTGACACGTTACTTTGATGTCAACCTTGAATAACGATGGACACTTCATTAATATGAAGTACTTCCTCTCCACCCCTCCAAAATGTACAAATAACTATTCTATTTCTATTCTAGAAAGCACTTGAAGAATTCCTTTTTGTCATGACTGATAGCTGTACACAAGTATGGACTGGTTTAAATGATATTGTGAAAAGTTTAAGTATTTGCCTGATGTTAACAGCCACACAGAGTAACAACAATTACTGATACTTTCATCCATTAGATGGTAGTAGGAAATTCTTTATTAGTATTTACCGGTTTTTCCTCTCTTTCCTCAAGATTCTTATGTTTCTCCTACAGTCCAAGGATCCGTATGTAGTTTAAAAAAAAACTGGGTAGGATTCAGTGACTATCTCTACTCTACGATAAAGAATCTCCTGATAGATTATTAAACCCAGCCTATTTATTTAAAAACAAACAAACAAACAAACAAACAAAACCCCAACAAACAAACCCACAAAACTCCAACAACAAAACACCATGGAACTATTATCCTGACTTTTTATAAGCCTTAAATTCAACTTACTCCTTGCCTAAGAACTGTTATTAACACTGCCAGAGTGCAGTGTTACTAACACTAATAATATTCTGTTAAAGTAAGGACTAAGGTTATACCAGCTGCAGTTTGGGCTACTGGCAAAACATGGGAATCAGTGGAGAGGCTGGCATGGATACTGCATTGCTGATGGAAGTCTGC